ATATTGTTTCATAGCTAGATACCTCGTTGTCCGTATCCGGATTGAAACGAGAACCGATATGTTCTTGTAGTTTGAGGTGTTCATTCGGATGAGTTACAAGAACATGAGAAGTATAAGCAAGTGCAGTACTTGTTGTTTCATAGTCAGCTATCACTGTATGGAAATATATATATAGATATACTGATAATAGTAAGTCATTTAGACAAATAGAAATCAATCACTAAAGAGATAAATGTTAGCGGCAATTTCATGTTTTGTAATCTTTCTAACACGATTTCGAATACTTAATAAAACAAAAGTGAGAATTGAAAATGTTCCATTAAAGACTAATTCAGAATTTTTNACACGTAGTTCTTCTGTCTCTGTGTCTGTAGTAGCATCAGGCGGTGCTGAATGATCGTATGATAATGAACAATATGATACATCAAATTCACTAATATTTGAGTGCAACTCATTTCAAAAATGATTGTTTTACGTTATATAATGTACCAATATTAAAAATGACTCTTATCATGTTTCATATCAAAGTAAATTCAGTTTCCTGACGGCACAATAATTTCCAGTTGTAAGCACTTTTTACTATCGTTGAAATTTCAAAAGTAAAATCTTCAAACTCTCATCAGACCAAATTGCATTAGATTAGAAGTTTCCCCCTGCTCATTAGTTAGTATGCAATAATACCAATCGACTGAAGTATGAAAATGTTTGCAAACGCTTTGTAGAGGGCATAACTGTATCAGAACTCTAGATAGAATATTGGTCTGAATAATAGTTGAGAATTATGAATATTTAAATGAAAACTCTTACATTCTTATATCTGATGAAAAATCCGGATGAATTCGTTTCGTTTTCACTAAAATCTTCAACAGTAGATTTTCATAGGTTTCTTCTTATAAATTGATGCGAACTTTTTCTGTCACCATCGAGAAGCAGATGATTCTAGGTTAAACTCGTAAGAAAACTACTTACTTTGTGTGTCAGTTTAAAACAAATAAAAACTACTTACTGGTCTGAAACGATGCAGAATTCCTTGACATATGTCAAGCATAGAATTACACGAAGAAAACATCATACTTGAATGACTTCCTTATCTGATACTGGATTCGTCATCAACTGTAACAGATCTATTCGGCTTGTACAACCCAAAGTAACTCTTTTCCTGGTTAATTCTTGGATCTGCTTTTTTCAATTCATATAACTGGATCATCAGTGATTAATATTCGTGCTAAAGGCACATAATATTGCAGCCATCAACACACGATACTGTCAACTGCGTGTAACGTATTCCAAAACCATTTGAATTCAGGTATGAATACATACAAAAGAATAAACATACCAAAAGAATATTCAGAGCCGAGTATACGCTGTGATTGAACAAGATATGGCTCATTCGAATTGTTTTGCATATGTCTGTATCAAGACCAAATCCGCATGACTATATAGTATCCATAGTAAAACGTTAAAAAAATGAATAAATATCAAGTGGTTCATCAATTTGATATTGTTCAGTTAATTTTGTCATTGATGCCTCGATACTATGATTAATTAATGGAGACATTTGTTTGATTTTAGCTGATGAAAATTTTGGATTGATAACAAATCGTTGTCGTTTCCAATGAAGACCTTGCGCAGTAAATATAGATGACCTTCTTCTTCATATGTTTTATCGAATGGAAATTCACGATGTAAATTAAAGTTTGAAAATGCTTTAATGAAGATATCTTGGAAAATCTGCGGATCTGAGACGACAAGAATCGGTGTATAGCCTTCGAAGTAGCCAAATATTCGACCATATTTTTTCGTCGAGAGTGTGTGTATGGATGTGAGTATTAATCTTCGCAACACTCACACTCATACCCCACCCTAGCAATTGACCGATCCGTTTGTCATCGAAAATTGAAATGACATTGGTAATGTCTTTATTTGTAGCTGATATCTGTAAAGGTTTATTACGAAACTGTAGAGATGCTGTTGAAATATCCGACATACTGACATAAGAACCTAGATACATCTTATTAAGGCGCCATGCCATTGGATCAGGAAATTCATCAATAGAGCCTCAACAACGAATTTCTATAATATTTACCATTTATACAGTGCGATTAACATCAACACCGTTTAATAGACTCTGATGAAATATTTGACATAAGGTACGTATACTTATAAGAGTACTGTCTTGAGAATAAAATTATGTTAAATGGTCACTGCCATCGATGTCCTTGAGTTTATGGATCTGTTGAACAATTTTTCGAATTTCGTTTCGAAGAATTTCACTAAAATCTAATCCTTGTGTGATCGTGTGTCGTGTGAAACCACGAGTATTCTTCGATAGAGCGTCCATTGCAAGTAAGCACTCCGTCTGCTGAGCTGAATTCAATTGATAAAGTTTATGATCATTAGAAATTTGTGCCATATGCATAAACAACGATTTTTTTCTTTCGATTGATTCAAGTTTTTATTTGTTTTAAACTGACACACAAAGTAGAATCATTTCATAAGACAGATGAGTCATTTTTATTAGGTAACGATGTATTTTCATGCGTTGACAGTAACCAAGCATGATTTTAATCTCTTTCCTATGCTATGTTTTGGAGATTAGAACTAAAGTATAAAATGTTTACTATAAATAGTCATCTTTTCAGTAATCCAAGGGTGTGAGTTCGAAAAAATTAAATGAATCAATCGTCTCCAGGATTCGATTCAAAAATAATTTATTGAACCAGATCTCGGATCTAAAAATGATTGGACCTGATAAGCCCTAATTCGTGACCAACTTTCACAAAATTTTTATACTATTAACCTCTATATGGGTACGCGTGTGTTCGTATAAGTGAGAATTTACTCCTTGTATACAAATAATCACCCCCATACGAGACACTCATATTCACAACCACATCCCACGAATCGCTCCGAGCAAAAAGAAAAGTATGATACCATTATTCGCCAGTTTAAGCAGTAGTTTGGTGTATACATGAATAAATCTGCCTATTTAATGCAGTTTCCATAGATTTCGCTGATGAATACCCGCTAGAATAACAGGTCTTAACCGGCTTTGTTTTCTGGTTGTTTTATGACGTGTGGGAACATGATTTACTATTTTCAGTAACGAATTTAGGAAGTTGAATATGTGAACAGAAGTCTGAGCTTATGTACTAATGCAAACGAGAAAAAGTTGAAAGAAAACAATGCGATCCATGTTTTCATTGTTTGGGAATTTTTATTTGAGTCTATTCGTACGAAATTTTTTAGATAATCTGGCTGAGCAACAGTACAATGTGACGAAAATGGCTTGCTATGTATGACTCTTTTTTGCCTGGATATAAATCAGCTTTATTGATCATGATTTCACTTTTATTGATATGTATGCCCTTGATGTCATTTGTTTCTGAACATCGTGCACATTTCTGTGGTCGATTGGTAGAGCGAAAGAAAATGATTGATAATTGTGGGCATATCTGCGTCTCTCTCTCTCTTACTCATGCTCATCACTTATCCACACCCAGTCACGCCTACACCTGAAGGTAAGATCCACATTTGTGTTACATTTCACAACTTATTCTGTTTCATTTACACAAGAATATTGGTTTAATAAAGATAAATTTTTAAACAAGAAAAACATTTCTTTCTTTTCTTTTTTAACTCGTTACTCGATTATATAAAGTTCTATATATACACTTCTGATCATGCACCACTATAATCGTATAACGTTTCCACCCTGGAGCTTTTGATTTTGTTAATAAGATCTTTCAAATCTGTATCTTGCATCTTCTCTTTCAGCGTGAGTGTTCCGGTGAGATCTAAGCATTTCAATTTTATATTTGTGTTCTGTAACAATGATTTACACAATCCATAGACGCCATCACATCCAATCATCGTATAACTAAGATCTAATACTTCCAGTTTACTTTGATTTGTGTCTTCAAAGAGCTTACTTATAGCTCGTGCACCAATACATGTGATGCTATTATTTAACGACAAATTTAGCTTTTGAATTTTATTGTTTTTATTCGATATTAATGCATCACATAAGCTTTTCACACCTTCATCAGTGACAAAAGCATCAATCAGAGATAAATTCGTTAAATTATTACCACCACGTAGTAGCAGATTCGTAGCTATATGATTGACACCAGTATCAGTTAATTCTGTATGAATAAAAATAAGACTTCGACAATCTAATGGTAGGTAAGTTGTAATGAATTCTACATCATCATCTGTTAAGGCATGATGCTCACGAAAAATGCACGCATCACTACCATTCATGTAATTACGTAAATTTAATGTAGTACTTGTCATGTTTGTTCGCAACACAAAATTTTCACAACCAATTATTTATATATGCCGTCTTTTTGCTACCGATTGTCCTGAAAAATTACAACTTACATCATCATGAGAAATGAATAATCGAATGTCATATGATCCGTGGACTGGTGAACAGTGAATAAGCGTTCGTTTCTAAAACTTAGACAATGCAACACACCTATGCATTATATTATGCAAACGCTTTTTGCGTATTAAACCTGATTTAAATATAATGCATTTTCAATTTTATGATGAGAAAAAATACATATATTGGGTGTATATTTTTTTTGTATAAAAGAGTCATCATGGTTGAGGGTACACCAATCGCAAAGTGTCTTGAAGAGGGATAAACTGTCAGAAAGAATATCAGCGTGTGTGACAGTTTCGTTCTTTTTCACATCGTTGAATTTTTTCGCGAGTTTAATATAAATCTCTTCCGATAATCTTCGATTTAATTTTTATATTAAAAATTTTCAAACAATTAAATTTTGATTATTCGCTCATCGAATGAAACAGTTTACAAACAAGAGATGTGTTCACCAAAAAGGTGTTTTTATCTACAATTTTTTTGAGATTGAACACCAAGTTCGTTTCGATAACTTTACGTCAAATTATAACGTTGTGAAACAGGAGATAAATAGAAAAAAATTAGATCGAGTTTCAAATGAAACAAAAAAAACTGTTATTGATTATGAATATTTTTTTAATTATGCATAAATTAAAAAGGAAAGAAGGTTGGCTGGTGAAAGGCCAACTAAAACACCACCATGAGCTACTAGATTAGGAGACTTCTCAAATATAAAGATTCATTTTAAGACAATAAACCACAAGGAATACCTGCATAAACAGTAGTCATTACATGTATCGCTACCATGCTAAGCCTTCTCAGTGAATCATACAAAATTAGCGACATCTATATTATATTTTTATTATTACACCCAAAATCCTTTTGCACATTTCTTAGTTGGCGTTTTTTAGTTGAAAATAAATTAGAATCTTAATTCGTAGTGCGTTTGTATGCGCGAAGTGAAGCTGAGAAACAAATCTCTGGTACTAAGCCAATCGATACACTTACACCAGACCACGGATCAGAAACTTTTCGGAGGGTTCTGTAAACCTCCTTTATTTTTTTCAGAGTGCGCATGGTGTACGCGTGTCCGACATGCTCGGTGCGCGCATTCCGCGTGACGATCGTACGCGTACGAGGTGTGTTGTGCCATGCGCGCACTAGCAGCGTTCGGGTTGGCTTGGGGAGTGAACCTCTAGAGAAGATACAATTAGTCAATAGCTTTAACAAAGAAATTTTTTTTTGAGAAAACAAGAAGTGAGAAGAAAATAGAAAGAAATAATGGCTATAAACGAAGATGAAGTAAGAGAGTGCCCGAAACATTTTATTTTTTTATTAGACAAAGAGAGTCTTCTTTTTTTTAGGTATTCCCTGGCGTTAAGAGTGACCCAGTCACCAAGCAGGAGCTCGATGATGCTCTGCTGACGATTAACAACCGTCTGGAGACGATTAACAACCGTTTGGAGACGATTGAAACCACCCTGAAAAGCGTGGACAACAAGCTTGACTTGTTGCTCAAAAAGTTCAATCAGTGAACGCTCATCGCTGCAGCTGATCGAGGGAATCCTCGGTGCAGAGCCGACTAGTTATATCGGTATCTGCTTTATACAGCGGTGAGCTGGTTCAGGGTGGTGAAAGTAAAAGCAATGACCGCCTATACGGAAGCTAACCCTATTTCAATGGTTAGCTTCGAATATGGTCATTGCGACAATTTTTCTTATTTATAGCATCTTTTTATTTAGATCACGACCTGAAATATTTTTACTAGTAAGTTTTTGTTTGTTTCCAAATAAAAGAATTTTTTTTGTTTAGTTAAAATCGAGAAAGATCTTCAATAGTGCGTAGTCTTTTTTATTTTTTTATTATTTTTATTTTTGTTGTTTTTATTTTTTATTTTTTTTAATAAATTTTGCAAATAAGCTGCCAAATGACTGCAAAGTATGCATTAAGTAATTGTCTCAAAATATCTGTAATAATTTATTATACGATGTACAATCGTATCAAAAAAAGTGGATAGGAACTTATTTGCTATATTTAAATAAGTCGTTAACTTCTTCAACATCTAACTTCAAATGATACTCCATTTTTTTATCTTCAATCATTTCGATCNGAAATACGATCAAAAACGACCGTAAAGCGCCGTATTTCGCCGTATACGGCACGGAGATTTACGATCGTAATACGGAGCCATGTAATACGGCCAAATACGGCGATTTACCGTCGTATACGACCGTGTATGTTCGACCTGGGTAAGGAAAGAAAAATAAGCACAAAAGAACAAACTTGTAAATTATAAATACATATGATATAGTAAAGCAAACAGCATAGCGTAAGAGAAAATAAAAATACTGATCAAATGATTGTGAATAATAATCTTTAATTTTTAAATACAACAAATATAGTTGAAAAAAGTCAAGAGAAAGATAAGATATTCTAATAGGAATACAATACACAACGGAGTTCACAAGTTGGTCATATGTAGATATCTTCATTCATAGTGGGTATCTCGAGAATGATTAAATATCTTCTGAAAGACGCTATTCTAATGTCTGTTGACAGGATTAGTATATGAGTCTAAATTTTTTCCAAAACCATATACACCATCGACATTGCATCTTCAAGAAACATAAGAGTATGATAGGGTGTAGGCATGGCGTGTGCTTGTGGGCGTGGCTGTGACCAAAGTGGAGAAGAAGACCTATACCCACATATCCACAGCTACAGCTACACCCATCACATACTCACATCCACGAACATACCCCACACCCACCCGTGAGATTTTATTTTACTTGTATTTTTCAAAAAACCAAGCAAGATGAATTTTAAACGATTTATTTAAATTCAAGAAAAAAATCAAGGACAAATTGTCGTCAACTTATACTGTATCCTTTAATTCTTTTTAGTACGACTATTCATGATTCATGATGTCCCATAGGCTTATCGCTCGTTGGGGCCAATCCCTATTCGGATAATTTCTTTCCATTTCCTTCGGTCTTGCGCAAGGTGGAACAAGTCTTGCCCGCTGTATCCACACCATTCGATTATATCGTTCATCTATTCTCTACATGGACGTCCTCTTCGAGGTTTTCCGTTTATTCTTGCGAATACAGTGTGTTTTATCAGCCTGTTATCGTTCATTTGACAGATATGGCCAAATAATCGCAGCTTCCTTCTTTTGATGTTATCTATAATGATCTCTTTTCTTGCTATCTGTTTTCTTATGTCTATGTTTCTTATCATATCTTTCCAGCTGATTCTTAATATCCTTCGATAGCATTTCATTTCGAGGGTGTGGGTGTGGGTTTGTTAGTATTGGTGTTCACTTTCAAGTCAAACCCATACTCACACCCACACTTATCTGCTGACCGGATTTATTCAATACCGCCTGGAACCAACAGGACCGGTCGAATTCCGACAGTTTCTGACGATTTCCGGGCTGGCTCTGGACTGAAACGATTTGTTTCCTGCCGGATTACGTGGAAGAATTCACCGTAATACTGCTTCAGGAATCATCGGTCTGGAGAATACAGTCAAAATGGCGTGGTTGATTTATTTTTCCTTGGCATAGGCGATCATACTTTGAATTGAAGCAAGGTGGAATTGATTGTCAGTATTGAAGGAAAAACCCAACAATAGACGTCGAAAAATCTAAAGCAGCAACAGAATGCATTAATCGTAATAGTAACAACGCCTTTTTTTTTGTTTCACAGCAGCAACTTGCCAGTATTCTTGATTAGCAAACAAACGACATTTCGTATATGATATGGGTGAAAAAATCTCGAAGCTAACAGTCCCAACATCAACAGCGGATGCTTCGACATCAACCGCTATTGAACCAAGACGACGACATATTGCGCAAAAGTATCTGGTAATTTGGTTCGATGACAATGTCGATGAAACAAGCGATGATTACAACAACACACAGGCTCAATTACGCAGTATTGTCAATGAGGTGATAATCTGCAAAGAACCAGTACATTGTCTGCAGTGTCTTGATGAAGTCTATGATGAGAAGGTCTTCATCATCTCGTCTGACGCGTTAGGCCAAGACATTGTGCAACAAATTCATGATATGCCCAAAGTTGATACCATTTATATTTTTCGTCAAGATAACGCTACCGATGAAGAATGGACAAAAAATTGGGCTAAGATTGAAGGTGTTCTCACCTCAACTCAATCAATTTGTGAATCATTGAAAAAGGGTTTGGTGGAAAAGGCAGAAAGGGAAAACGTCGGAAAAAAAGGAAAATGCAGAAATTCTAAACGTCGAAAGAAAAAATTAGAAAAAGGAAAACGTCGAAAGGTAAATGTGGAAAATTGCGTTTTTTGATAATTTTAACGAAAAATAAAAATTTATTCGATCATATGATAAAATACAATAAAAAAAGAAAGCTAAGTTTATCAGTATTATTTTCTTTTTTGTGTTATCCAAGTAGTAATGCTAATCCCTTCAATAATTGCTGTGCATTGATTACTAAATCAAAAGAAAACATTTTCGTTATCTATAGACATCCTTTTCATTCTACGTTTACCTTTTCAAAATTCTTCTACTTTTTTTCTCTGGCAGCTTTTCTTCGACACTGTTGTTAATTATACTTTTTCCATTCGACGTTTTCCTCTTCGACGTTTTTACCTTCTGCAATTTCCAGTTTTGACGTTTTCCTTTTTTTTCGACATTTTCCTTTTCGGCGTTTTTCCTTTCTGCCTTTTCCGCCAATTCCATTTGTTTTCGATGATGTGAATAATCAGGATTACAAAGCTTTGACCAGTTTACCGATATATAAGGATTTAAAAATGACTCTATGTAACTAATTAGAAAAGCATGAACATTCTCAGTCTCGTTTGAATTCTAAAATCTAGGTGCCTTGTACGCTATATGAACAATCTAAAGCTTTCTGGAAGGTCTTTGATACGAGATGTATCTGTCAACATGTAATTCAGTCACACAGTGTGATAGTTTTGGTTAAATAGAAAAAAATCAAAAACTTTAAAGCGAATTCAAAAGCAATTTCTAAACGATCAAAATATATTGAAGAAAAAAAGCAATACGACTGAAAATGTACTAATGTGTTGCTCACATTGATAGAATTCTCTTAGTCCAAATATGCATTGCCCGATTGACTTCATCAGATTTTTCGATCATGGTCCAATGAGCAGCTTCCAACGTGATTATATCTAAATCGGCAATATAACGCTTTTGTTCTGCAGCAGTACTAGCAATCACTACGTAGTCCTTTGTTCCGCCAATAGAAAGTACAGGCCGTTGAATAATTGGATCGAGAGACATCTCATCATTCCAATTAATATTGGCAACTTGGGATTTGTACCAATTTAATTTTTGTTTCATACCTTCGACAATATACTGACGAAAATTTTTATAATCATCGTCTGTCATGTATGAAGCTCTTGTTGTAGTGTTTCCGTTGAGTAACCAATTGCGAAGTTTTCCGATCGGAGCCAAATCTGTTTTCCAAAGTAGAGGATCCTTTGCGAAACCAAGATCAGTGAAACTTTCCACATTGTTCTCCATAATTTCAGCAGCATCATCAGCAATAAAAAATTTCCAATATCCAAGTGTTTCATAACCATACACTTGCTTCGAATATTCGATAGCTAAATCAAGATCAAAGAGTGCTGGTGCACCATAGCCACCATTGATCATCACAAGACCCAATGTTCGTTGAGGATAGTATAACACGAATCTATTTGCTAATTGAGTTCCCCAATCGTGCCCAACAACGATGACCTTGTTTAGATTTAAGTAATCAAGTAGAGAACCGAGATGGTTAACCATGGATTTGAGTTTGTACTCATTCATGTCCAACGGTGAATAGGTCTTTCCGTAGCCCATTAAATTTGGCATCAGGCAATCAAAGTTTTGGTGTGCAAAATATTCAACTTGATATTTCCAAGAATGAAACGATTCTGGAAAACCATGAAGAAATAAGAAGGTCGCTTTTGTATTATTATTATTATTATTATTTGCTTTAATATAAATATACTCATAGTTAATACCGGAAGCCACCTCGAAGTTCTCCGCCTCAAATTCGTCATAAATATATTGTTGATCATCATTCTGAGTTTGAACACTTTTAGAGATCATTATGACCACTAAAACAGCAATTAGATACATGAACCACTTCATCCTAGTGCTGGTTTATACCAATTTACGTATCTAGTTATAGCGTGTGACATATATAAATTATAACAGATATCAACATCATACTGTAGTTTTTATATTACTTAATCTATCCTTTGTTATTGTCCTCATAGGGCAGCGTGTATGATGAGATGACATTAGTTAGTTGCACTTTACGAATTTTAAATGTCAAATTAAACTAATAATGCTACGTTAATACAACATGTACGACGATTAAGTCATCAAAATAAAGAATTATAATCTATACTGATTGTGAATGTTTAATAATTGCCCCATCAACGAGCAGTAGTTAGTTTCAAAGCTCAAAATATACTCGTAAGCATTATGATGAGTGCAAAAACACAGAACAAGTACGATACGATTTTGCATTATCATACAATTCGTCACAAAAACGAATGGTATATTTCTCACAATTATCTATTCATTTATAAAAATATACACTTTGAAGCATTACTAGTAAAATAAAATGAAAACCAATTATCTCTGGCAGTATGTCACATTTTTTGTGTAAACCAGTTAATTAGCTAGCAGATTTTTGATAATTAACACCTCACACCCTCAAGAGCGTATAGGATTAAAATTTCATGGAATCTTTTTGTTTAACGTAGCTACCAATTTAATTCATTGCGGCTCTTTCAAATATACCTTCAAATGCTAAATGGAAGCAGGATGTAATCTACATTGTTGATCTTCAGAATAATCGTATTGTAGAATGGAATGATCGATTGGATTTTCCTATTGATCTGCTAGCCGATCAGGAAACAGATAATCTAATCATCTGCGATAAAGGCAATTGACGATCAGAAATTTCTCTACTTGCCCAACTATAAAACTCATGAAGTTCGACAATATAAAATAGGTGAGACACAACGAACAGTAGTACCAGGTGGGAATGGAGAGGGCATTGGCCTCAATCAACTCAGTTATCATACTTACATCTTTGTCGATCGAGATTATTCTGTGTATGTTTTGGATTGGATTATAATCAGCGTGTAATGAAATGGAATAAAGATGAAAAAGAAGGCATTATCGTCACTGGAGTCCAAGGCAAAGGAAACAATTTAACACAATTCTATTATCCGGCAGGCGTATTCGTCGATGCACTAGGTACAGTTTATGTCGCAGACTCTCACAATCATCGAGTGGTGCGTTGGCCCGAAGGAGCTACTCAAGGTGATGTTATTGTTGGTGGAAATGGTCAAGGAAATCAGTAAAATCAATTAAATTCTCCCATGGGTTTATCATTTGACCAACATAGTGATTTTGAACTTCGAAATAAAGAGCTCAATAGAAAAAATATTTGTATCTTGCTTATTAACATTTGGATAGGAAATCAACCTTGATGTCATCTTCAGTATGTAGGGTTCAACTGAGGAAATTGCTTTGAAGAGTCCTATATCGAAACTATCTCAGCACTTCAACTATTCTCCATTGAAATTAGGCTACTAAAGATTGACAATTATATTCTATTGTAATAAGCATTGAAGACATTATTAGAACTCACTCAATTTCTCACGCATCTTCAAATCCAAATTGGGGAATGAGAAATATTACTGAACACTATGCTGTCGGACAATCGTCTCAATGATGTTTGCAGCACGTTGAAGGCCATTGTGAAAGCGAATTCTTTTACCAATCTCAGTCATGTGTTCACGTAAGATTTTATTGATAAGAATCTGATTGATATCATCTGTCAGTTCTTCGTCTCGAAATGCATATGGAGATAGTCGTATTCCGAAACCGAGCTCATCCATACGTTGTGCGAGTTTAATCTGCTCATGTAGTGGTCCCTTACTAATGATGTAACGATGTGGTGTATGTAAAAGTACATCAATGAGACGTTGCATCAATTCAACTTCGGCTCCGCCAAGAGATCGCAATGAGAGGTATATTAGAGCACAATCATTTGGACGTTGTCGAAAGGATGTTTCTCGCACACTTGACTCGAGTGAACGTACATCTACATAGTCAGCTTCCTTAGGAAAATGTAGAGATTAGCTTTCGATGATGAGTGAATAAATTGCAAATCATCCAATGGCGGATCACCCTGTTCGATTACCCATTGATTGAAAGAATTCCATAGATGACGGTGTACGCGATCGTATTCAGTTTAAAATGCAGCCCATTGTGATCAATCGTTTGCAGGTACGTCCGAAAAGACAGGAGCTATGTTCAAATCTCCTGTCTCCAGAAACATAAACGATTCTATCTGATCGACCGTTGACTTACGGACTTCTGATTTAATCATGCGAATATAGTTAGACCAAAATTGACCAACATCGATTACTTCATTGGTTGCTGATTGTTCAGAATAATCGACCATATACTCCTCAAAACCGAAGTCGGAGAGTTCACCCTTCCAAGAAGACTCTGTAGCGAATACTATTCGATGATCACGATTACGAAGTACAGCACCAATTCCAATGCATTGATTGGTTGGTCCGTATGCAGCTTCAGGAACAAAAAGAATAGTTAATATACTTTTATCTATATACGTAATCGTGCTAATAACGTTGATAAAATTAGGTTTGACTTCGAATAATTCTATTTATTGATTAAAGATTTTAGAAGTCAATAGTCAGTGAAAAGATTTCAAAGATTGCTAATCTTAAAATCATGACGAAATCCATTCGATACAAGAACATACATGTAAAAATTTGCTGCATGATTCATGTAAATAAGAAATAATGTAAAACTCATAATGAAACTTTCAATAGATTTGTTTGTATTAGAAGAAGATGTTATTAATATCTCTAAAGTAATAGCAAAATAAATACTTGAGTAAATATCATCAGTACTAATTCTCGATCTCTTCGGCGAACAATAAATCGTCTTATTCGTGTGCCTAATTGTTTTACTTGATGATAAGCTAAATACCCAAATACAATCATTAAAATCGATGGAACTACTGCAAATTATATCAATAAATAAATATTATTTATTATATTATATATCCCAGTACAATAAAATATCTCGCCATTTGTCAGAAAATATGTAATAGATAAAAAACGAAACTTACAAAAAACTAATGAACTAGATGTTGGTTCACCAAAAATATACGTTTGAAACATAATGGGAATATTAAATGAAAGATATATGATATTTATTATTGCAGCACTGGATAAATAGACCGAGCACGCACTTTTACGATGTTGATCGAAAATTAGAATAACAAAACTATTACCAATATCACCTAAAACTAAAAGGAAATCCATACCATAGCAAACAATTACTTTTTGAATGATTGATAGGAATAAAAATTCCATTTCAATTATAATTATTGCGTTCATTAGAATGTTTTTCGCAGAAGAAATTATAGCAACGTTGATAGACAAATTGAAATCGAAATTTGATCTAATTACAAAATATCTTACTTGAGTGAATGATCCTATCTGCTGATTCTCTGAACAGTATAAGTAGTATTCTAGCGAGTTTAATTACGTACTTGACTTATTAAAGTTAAATCTCAAGTGCTCTTCTCTACATTTTCCTATGCAAAGTGTAATAAACAGAAACTCATTGACATGTTCATAACATTCTTTTTCAATGCAAGCAACTGGATAACCTTGTCCAAGTTTACTTATTAAACGAACTAAAACGTTATTTTTATTTCTTATCTATGTCCAAAATGGCATTCAGATATGTACGGAAATAAATATTAAAAAAAACACTAGCAAATAACAACAGAACAAAAAAAAACTTATAACTAAACAAGTATACAATAGGTCATCTGTTCTTGTTTCCTTCTTCCCTATGTAATCCATATATCAAGAAAATTATCATTAAATTCTGAATGTAATTCTGGATTATTTGAAAGCCATGTCACAGTTTGAGATTGAAAATGATCCGTTAGCTTTCCTGCTAAGCTAATACGAATCGATGAAAGATGCGTTAAATTTTGTAAAAGTTTCAATAGAATTTCCTGAAAATCAACGTCATCCATATTCATACATAATGATAAATGTTCAATATTTGAGAAAAGTTCAATAAATTGATCAACAATCGATAATGTTAAACGACCATATGATAGTGTCAGCCTTTTTATCATCATATTTAATAGCCAACACAGCCAAACATCGCCGAAATCATTAATCATTTGCAAAAGATTATGATACGATGAACTTAAACCATCGATATTTGGTGCTTTACATAAAAGTGAAAATAATGTATGTCCAGAAAGTAACGAGTTTAATTTTAAATGACGAATTTTCGTTAAATCAATTGTAGATGTTAGATAAGACAAAAGCGAACTATTTGAATGATCACTGTAAGATTCACCATCACAAAGAGATAACGATGTTACGAAACGAAATTTACGAACGGGTATATTGTCTGAATGTAATCCTAAAATAATCAACAAGAGTTAACATGAAATATCGACGTCATTTTATTCGAGAAAAATTCATCATCTAAAAATCTTTTTCATACCTTGCACAGATACTTTGAGATGTGTAACTCGATCATAAGCATTACACGGTAAAGTATTTCCATCGTCACAGTCATTTAACGATTGAGAACCATTTAATGTTGACGTAAATAAATTTTTATAGAATGGTATTGTATAGATAATTAATCGAGAGAGATGTTGAAAATAATCACAAACAACGGACCAATTGTTTTCTTTCCAAAATAAAGTTTGAAACGATTGAGAAATTAAATTCAAATCAAGTGAATGATATATATATGTTGTCATGACACATTCAAAGCGACGTAATAATGGTAGACGTTCAAGCACTTGCGCCCATCGATAACCATCGACCTTAAAATAGATAAATAATGAGAAAAGACATTTAGTTTTTTGTTTCGTTTTAAAAATTCAGTACATACAAGTTCAACACGAAATGATGAGCAACAAAGATGTTTTAAATTGACTAAACAATTTAATAATTGTTCAATATGTTCGAATTCAACATTTGAAAAACGCAAATTTAAATTAAAATAAGTCAATTGCGTTGGTATCGACAAACGAAATATGTCGAACGCAGCTGCATCATAATCTTGATTATAATATTTTTGTTGATTTATATTTATTGTTAATCGTTTTACATTCGGTATATAGGATAGAAGCGTAAGAATATTTTGAAAATAGGATAAATCAATCACTATATTTTCAAGTTGATTATTTATTGAATTATTTAATATTGTTTCATCACAGTCAACACCATCACAGAGTGATAAACGACATGAACGAAGTGTTTTATGTTTTAATATCAATTGGCATAGTAAACGTTTTTCATTCATATCTATTGTTCGATTTGTTACAATCGATACATGTTCAATTTGCGTAGATAAACGTAGAAAAAGAAATTTTATTTGCGACATTGTTGCATCGGTTAGCGAAAGCGAACGGAGCGATGGAATATGTAAACATGGATATTGACGTATAAATAGTGCTATTGCACCGTATGTTTCATCGTTTGATATGTGTAATGAATGAAGGCGTAATAGAACCGATGGTAATGGCAAAACTGACGAAAGACAATAATCAAATTCATTTTTTGATATATGTGATATGTCCATATTTAAACTGAGTTGAAAATCACTGATAATTGAATTGAAACGATTATTAAGACTAAAAAAATTAATTCATGGAGGAACAATCAAGATTTCTAAGCGTAGACAGTCATCAACTTACTCATGTAGACTATGATAGATATCATAGGGTTTTAAATAACTAATAATATCTAGTAGAATTTCATCTGGTAAATGTTCTAGAACACTTGGAACAACGCTATTATCTTGTGCATCGCAGATAATATTTATTGGTGACTATAAAAAGAAAACAGTAAGATTTCTCTTAACTATTCTATATGAATATCAAATACTGTTTGTAGTTCATCATTTTGAATGGTATCATCGACGGCGAATGATGCATTTTCTGACTGTTCTATAATATCTGATATAGCCTATAGAAATAGATTAAATGATTATCTTGGAAAATATGAATTTCAAAGAAACCTGTGGTGGTTGTTCAATTGATTGTGATGATAGAAATAATTTCCATCCGATTATAATAAGTGTACAAATGCATAGGCCGAATATAAATAAAATCATCTGAAACATACAAAGTCAATATTTGAAAAACAAAATAATAACCATCTACTGTTTTTTGACGGTACTGTTTATATTAAACAAAGCTATTTACAAAGGAGAGACGAGAAAAAAATAGTTATGTATAAATACGTATAAGCTTTTTAAATTTATCTAATAAACGTTGTAATGGTGATCGAAGTTTTGTTAGTTGCTGAGCAAGTTTAAGAAATTTATATTCATTTTGGCGTATATATTTTTGCGTATCACGTAACATTTGTTCTATACGTTCTGGTCGATGTTCATCGAGAACAAAATCCGCACTCATAAATGGATTTAATCGAAAATAGATATTCGTCGGTAACAGATCGTGTAAACATACATGAATAGTTTCCGTGTTTGTTACACTATCGACCAGTGATGATAACTTTTGTTTTACTAAAAAGAATGCATAAATCGTTTTTTCAATGCTCGATAAATCTAAATCAACTTTTTTGAATTCTATACGTACAAGTCATTGATTTCGATTGAAATGCAACATCAGGTGTTGGCCTTCCATTGCCTAATGATACGACACATTGAATATCTTCACCGGGCCACAATAATTTACATTCATGTAAAGCAATACTTGTTGGATTGTTTGCTATTAATCCTCCATCCTTGAAAAAAAAAATTCTTGATCACTAAATAAATAGATTTAAAATTTGTCTCTTACTTGAAATACGTTGCCATCAAGTAAATATTCTTCAAAATACCCTGGAGCACAAGTAGATGCACGTACGGCTTCCCACACTTTATATTTCGATGTTCCATCATAATGCGCATGAGGTGACATTAATATTGAATAATTACGAAATAAAAATAATCTATAACCATTGGGAACTGTTAATGCAGATATTAAGCTGAACTGAAACATATGAAATTCATCTTCAAAGACAAACAAACCAAATTTTTGAATATATTTACTTTTGGTGAATCAGCATCGAGCGAACTTTTCACCATCAATCGTTCGCCCATTCGAGATCTAAATTATAATCATTGGTGTGTTTCTTTTTTTTTCTTTATACAATTTATTATTTATTTACCTTAAATACTTTTCAAAGCTTTTTGTATCATAATACGATTGACTTGTTATCAAGGAACTAATACCTAATGCTTTATTTCGTTGAAAAACAGTTGAACTAAAATGTTTATATAATTCTTCACATTCATCTAAACTGACTTTGAATCCACCTAAGAAATAATGAAATTCGATACAGTATTACACATCAACACAAAATAAAAGGAGCCGAACGAAAAATAAAACTTTCACAAAAATATATTCATCTACCTAACATTGCTGCTATGACAGCACCGGTTGATACTCCAGATATATAATCAAACAGCTTATATACAGGTTCACCAACAAGATCTTCAATTCGACGTAGTGCATTTATTGAAACAAGACCTCTACAACAAGAAAGAACAACAATATTCGAATCTAAATAAATCAAACTCACTTCCCACCTCATGCCTCCGCCATCAATGGATAATAGTCGAATACCTTTTCCTCTTGGTTCTTGAACATAATTGGCTAACGTAAGACATTCATTAATAATACCAATAAAAGCTTTGTCAACAACAAATTTTCGATACTCATGTCGACGTAAATATAATAGATATGGTACAAGACGTTCCTAAAGAAGAATATAACAAATTTCTAATTCTTATTTATCTTGTAACCTGTTTTGTAAAATAATTTGCATCAGGCTGATGAAGAAGATAATTTGAAAGCTCTTCGATTCTTGTTGCCTGCGATAATGTTGATGATGCTGCTTTAACAGAATCTATCAGAGATTTGGTTCGTTGTCCAAGAGTTTCCGGTGTCACAACACGTACTATTGATTCTAATTGTTTACTTGTACCTGTATCCTTACGTGGTAGATTAGTTAAACCTGTTATTCGATTACTAACTGCGCTAAGAGCACCCCAACCAGCACCAAATACGTTAGCAGCTGCATCAGCTGCTGAACTAACAACATTTTGAGCTTGTTGCTTTGTTGTTGGTTTTTGTGGTGCTGATAATGTGGATGATGGAATTTCATTTTTATCGATTGGTTTTGGTTCTGGAAATAGTATTGATGCAAGAGATGCATTCGTACTCTGAGAACAATATATTACAGGATTTTTAATTAGTGTAGATTTTTTAACAAGATATTGGGAAGATATTAACATATTATTATTGAATAACTCGATGATTATAAATATATATCTACTCAATGAAAAATACAGACAGATGACCATGTGATAGAAGGTGTGGCCCAATATTGACGGAATAATTATTTGCGACAATGGATGTCGCTCGTATACAGTATAGTTTAATAGTTGATCTGCATCGCTACAGCTGCGAAATATTATATTTTCAAGTGAATAGTTGCTCATATGAGAGTATTGATGTCTCTAAAAATGCCTGGGTGTAGTGGATAACTGACGAGAACATTAAGTATACCTCAATGAAAAATCATTTTGAACAGTAAAGTGATTTCTGTAAAATAGCCTTGGCATGATTTATACGTCTGCACGATCTTTTGTTGTCCTTTATATTCTTTTAGCTCACTGTAATGCACTTTCCAACCATCAAAGCGCCTAGTATGTTGATGTACAGCTGCATACTAACAAAAAACCAAACGAAAAGGTTGTAGTGCATGTATACTGATAAATTGTTTATAAATCATTGAAGCAAATCAGCGAGCAAGTAATCAACAACAGAAACAATTACGAGTACTTGGCATCTATTCATCTTTGTCTACCTATTGATCGGCTATTTTTTATTTTTTTTATAAAAGTCACAGGAAGTCACACAGACATATTTCCTCCAAGCCATTTCTTTTGTATGTTGACCTATCATCGTTTTTTTTATGAAGAAGGAATAATGCGTAATCTATTTTTACCTTTCATATTATTCTGTACATTGTCATATTTTTCACTTGGGATATCCGTTAGTGTTTCTTTTATATCTTTATATAAAGTTTCACACAGCGTTCTAAGATCATTGGAACTTTTCACTAATAAATAGTCAATATCATTGAAATAATGATTTTCTTAATTTATGCTTTTCAAAATTTTTGTGCGCAAGTCATATTAGTAGTCTCCCCATAAAAGAAGCCACCGGGGGGTTTCCAATAATAATAGAAGTTCTATGAAGCTGCTCTTAAGGCTCTTCAAAATGTTTGGGAAATTCAACGAAATACTCTTCAAGAAGGTAATCGAGAATTTGCTTCTACATATAGTTTGTTTGAACCTTGAGAAATGTGTCATAATACTGCAAGAAACATTACCTGAAAAACATCCTGAAAAGGCTGTGGCTTACAGTGCTCTTGGAGATGTTCATCGATTAATGGGCGATTATCGAAAGGCACTTTCGTTCCATTAGAATGCCTTGAGTATTCAAGAAAGTGTTCATTGTAGTCCTCTACAGTGTGCAACAAAATATTTGAATTTAGGTGAAACATATCGTGAAATGAATGATTATACAACTCCAATGAGTTATTGTACCGGCAAGAGTAAATGCAAGGGAGTATGCTGGTACTATGTTGAATGATAACTGTGACAATAATAGGAGCAGATGTAGCAAAAGGTATTTTAGCCTCGGCATTAATATTAATCGATCAAATGATGTAAATCTTAAGTAAGGTTATAGCTCCCGATTCGAGTATTTTTCACCAGCGATTCGCTTAGGACAGGTGCATTTTTCGTTTATTTGAATTTGTATAAATACGAATATTTTTGAACTGATAAAAATTGCGTACACCAACTAGGAAAATTCCAGCATTATATTTAGTTCTGTTTTTTTTTTAATTTTTAAATGAAAAGTAACGTGAACTTAGTGTTTAGATAGATATTACTCACTATTAATTCGAACCCTCTATTTCAACATCATTATCAAGAAACTTTTACCGGTGTCAATCGCGACGTACTTCATATATAAAAAAAATACCAACTGAGCTGCTAACAAAAATGGAACCCTATTCGCAATGGCATAGAAACTAAAATATTTTCCCGTAATTATCTATGAATCGCTGTGACTATGTTCATTCCAATAGAATGAGAAGTATTACTTCCAGAAATACAAACGAATACCATTGTTTCTTTATCAAATTTTTGTTCTTGAACATACACCTTGGGAAAAAAATGTAGATTGGGTCAATGGCTAGTTACCATCCATAGATTGTATTCTCCTTCAGATCAATCTAAATTTGAGTATTTAGCACACATGCACACCTATTATTTGGTACGTATGCGACGAATTTAATCTTTTTTCTCTTTGGCAAAGATAACAGAACGATGCATAGTTTACTGAAATGCATTCGAATAAAAAAAATTACCTGTGTCATAAAACAAGAGAAGATATGAGCAACAGATCTTCTGATGTCAGCATTGCTTCAACGCAAATGACCACCAAAATGATGATATTTCTCTTCTTTTTTCTGCCATTCAGGTAATGAATATTTCTTTCTCGTCATTTACAAGTTAACGATTTGCTCTTCTAGTCTCACAGGTTTGATCATCATTTCTTTGCATGCTTCAAATTGTATTTGAATAGATCGAGTTCAAACTGAAGCATGTCACGGGCTCTCTCAATATGATGAATGTTCGAAAAATAGAGCGTGTGGCTGTTTGCATATGAAGAATTCTTCTGATAGTAATATTTGTGCTTTTCTCTTGTTGGCTTGTTCTCAACTTGTTTCATGTGCATCTCCAAACAATATCTGTTATTCACCTGGTCATGTCTGTATTGATCATCCTCGTTGTTTCTCGCGTCCCATTTGTTATCCATTGCTTGTGGCTCAACAAATGTGTCCACCACTTTCAAGTAAGAATTTTTTATAGATTAATATTGTTCATATGATAGAGAACAGTCATTCACTGTTTGAAAAAAGTTATAAATCACTAAAAACCTACAACAACATCTCTATGTTGACATTGATAGAACGTTTTATAAAAATCTTCTATTTCCCCGGTTTTTCAGTAGCAACAACAACTTCAACTTCTACTCCTCAAACACTTTGTACTTCTGCTGAATGGAATTCAGCTGGGATTACAGTTATTTCGAATTTATATAGGCCGCATGATGTTGCTATCGATAGTCAAAATAATCTAATTGTCGCCGATACTGAAAACCGTCGTTTACGAATATATTTCAAAAATGGAACCAACGTTACGCTGTTGGAAAAAGTTGCAATACACAGATTATTTATTGACAAGTTCGATAATATTTATGCTGCAGAGTCACTTGGAAATGAAATTAAGAAAGTGAGCTCTAATTATCAATCGATAACAACAGTAGCCGGAACGGATACTCCAGGCAGCGCACTAGATCAACTAGTTTTAGATGGTCAACCAGGACTCTATGTTGATAGTAATAGCACTCTCTATATTGCTGACACGGGTAATCATCGAGTTATAAAATACTTGTGGAATTCAACGTCTGGAGTTGTTGTAGCTGGTGGAAATGGACAAGGACCTGAACCAAATCAATTAAATGGTCCCTATGGCATCTATATCGATGAAATTCATGAAATAGGTGCAATTTACATATGCGACACGTTCAACCATCGCATTCAAAAGTGGATGGAAGGTGCTAGTGCAGGAATAACTGTAGCTTCAAGCAAAGATCAGTTGCATGATCCAGTTGCTATTCTATTGCAACCGACATCTAACCAAATGATAATGTACATAGCAAGTTTTGATCACAGCCAAATACTAAAATGGATGCCATATGCACAAGAGCCTCTTGCCATTGTTGCTGGAATGAGTGGTAGCGTTGGTGCTGGGGCAAATGAATTATTTGCGCCCCGAGGAATCCGATTCGATAAAGATTGGAATTTATTCGTGGCTGATACTGGCAATGATAGAATACAAAAATTCCTATTTAATATTTCTTCATGTGCCAACAATGATTGAAAATTAGACATTTGCAGTTCATTGTGTTGACTTCAGTATTAGCAAGCGCATTCTTTCTACAGTAGTATCCTGCAGAAACACACTTTCTCAGTTCTTATTTCTATTCTATTTTTATCGTATAATAACCTTGTACGACATGAAAATTATCGTTTTTTTCTTAATTTTTTGGATAATAAATAGCAGCATATCAGTTCATAGACATGAGCTGATGATCACTTTCATGTAACCATGATTCATCCAACTACTCACTCTGTGTACTTCCTTTTTTTATGACTCATACAAGTAAAAAAGAAAAACAATATATTTGTTTAGTCTTATTTATTTTCATTTCGCAACTTATAAGTTATATCTATGAAGATATTTTACATCGTCAAACATTTTTTTCATATCATAAAAGGGAAAAATACGATGGATTTATTGCATGCAGCCGATTCGGGTCGTTTATCAATAGTTAAAGAATTAGTATCCAAAGATAGTTCTTTAATTCGTAATTGTCGACATGTAGATGCTAAAAATCGAGCTTTTAATGTCGATGGTACAGCTATTCATTATGCTTGTCGATCTGGTCATTCAAATGTTGTTAAATATCTCATAAAACAAGATCCATCAATTATTAATGATCTTGATTGTGAAGCTTGGACACCATTACATTATGCTTGTTATAATGGACACTTAGATATAGTAAAATTCTTATTAGAATCCAAAGCTGACGTTACTTTACGAGATAGTTATCTATTTCAAACTCCCATACAATTTGCTATGTATAGGCTATTCGAAGATATTGTCTATTTATTAGATCCCAATGCAGAATGGACACGTCGAAACGCGGATGAAATATCAACGAAAGGAAAAGCATCAGTATTTCGTAAAAATTCAAATTTGTTTCTAGGAAGATACAGTTTAAATGAAGACCATATCAAACAAATTCAATTATTTCGTAACGATCCACAATACAATGATATTGAATTAAGAAAAATTCAAGACAATGAATTATCTAAGCTCAATGTTCGACTCGTATTGACACACGATTTTAAGAAACATATTAGTCAAACAGTAAGTTTATCATCAGATGCCGACGATGATTCATTTTTAAGATCGTCATCAACATCAACCAACGAGCACATCATGGTTTTTAAAGATGAATAAATTTACAGTGCCATTTACCGACAAATTTTCATATCTTAATAAATCAAGATTGTTCAGAACGTCTTCAAGTAGTAGAATCAGTCTTTAGCAGAAATAAAAAGCAAAGCTACATTTTATTAACAATCAAATACAATAAATAAAATCATAAGTATTGATCATCGACCTACTCGATCAAGATCACTATCCAATGTTGCTTTAGTCATATTTAATTCATTGGCTAAATGTAAGTAAAGCACCGATTCATTATCACTCATTATTTGTGTTGGTGATAATGAACTAGATTCCTCATTATCGGTCGTCACGTTTTGCTGATTATCAATAGATGACAATGGTAATGAACTTGTGTCAATGAACGACTGTAAAGCTACTGAAAGATCACTATCAGATGATGATGTTGTCTGTTGTTTAAATTCATGTAGAAAACTATCAGAACTAGTTGTCGTATCAACGATACTGTCCTTGTCATTTTCTTCGTTAGAATGAATACCAATCGTAGTTGCTTCTTCATCAAATGCAACTGTTTCTTCATTAGTTTTATGATTTGAAAGAGTATTGGATGTTCTGCAAAATAAATTTTAAAATCTTAAAAAATCTTTTTTGTTTCTAATTACATACAGAACATCTGTTTTTGGTAAAAATGTCGAAGCGAAACGAACAGCAAATGGGAATAGCGCCATAGTGACTGTTGTAGAGGTTGATTCCAGTCTTTGTTGAAGCGTAGTTAAAGCATGATTAAACTAAATGATAGAATTGAATCCCGGCTAACATATTTTTCACCCCGATTTAAACTTACTCGAATAAGTTCTGCTTTCAATTCTCGATTTTGTAATTGTGCATAACGATGTACTTCAAAATAACTTATTTCAACAGCTAGACGTCGTGTGCGTGAATCATCCATATATAATTCTTTTGAAACCACTTCTCCTTGATTTCGATGTTTTAGTTTCGATACCTGAAAAAAAAATCTATGTAATCGAATCTGATTGTCAACATCATTTACTTTCGGTAGAAAGACAAGACATATAATAACACTTGTCATCATAATAACAACAAAACATAGAACAATATAGACGCGTAAATTTTGTATTGATAACATTACAATAACCGTAAATAAACTAGTTAAAACAACAATATATATGCTCCAAACAATAAATTTTGAATCATTTAATGCTGCTATATGAACATGACGAGTTTTAGCAGCTAGATAACCACCAACAATAAGAAATAAGGATTTATAAAGATAAAGAAATGGTAAAATTTTTTGCCGATATTTTGAATTACAGTAATAGATTTCGTCCGAAACAACTGTATCCATATCGAGGCGTCGAATCTATAAAACTGCTTTTAGAAAGTAGAATTCTCTTTCTTTTTTTCTCTTTAAATGAACAATAAAACAAAACAAGGATTTTACCGATCCATAAGCGAATACGATGAAATGAGGATCGAAATATTGCCAGACAATTGTGAATATTGCATCAATACCGTAGAGGTATAAACATATCAGTAATAGATAATAGTCCTGAAGAAGCTACAAAGAAAAATATAAAACATTGAATTCAAAGCTAAACAAAAGAACCAACTTTTGAATGAAGTAATGGCCGATCATTGGATGTAAATATACGATAAACTCGTAGAGTTTTTAAAAACATTGAACCAAATGTTAATGAAAATCCTCCAGACAAAAGAAAGATGCGTACCTATTGAAAAAAGAATAATGAAAAATACAGTAATAGAAAAAAAACCGTTTTACTATGCATGCATGTTCAGGAATGTTATGTTCAAGAAACCATTGATCAAAACCAAAAAGAAGTATAGCAATATGAATATGCATTGCACCAATAATTAATACATTATTTAACTTAGGACTTGATAATTTGATATAACTAAGAGTGTGAAAACAAATATGTAATAGGGTTTTTTTAACACACTTATATCAGAGGTCTTTAAACTTATCGTACTGCAATATAGTATTATCACTTCAATAGATCCTGTAACAATATTCTTTAGCTAAAGAGGTTCGAATGTTTGAGTGGCCGATGGCATCTATTATTCTGCTCTTCTTTAACAAGTATCAATAAAAGTGAGGCAAATATCCTGTATTTTTCAAGTATTTTCTTTCTTATTACCGTTCGTGTCGATGAATAATATTAAATATTAAAAAGAAGATGGCTAAACCAAGACCCAATACACAAGCCACAGTGACCAGTATAATATCGGTAAATTTTAAAAGTACACGTCGAATTTCAGTTCGTTCTGTATCCACTGGTATTTTATCTATATCAATAGATCATTTATTTTGATTGTCTCATCAGGAAATGACTCTTACTTGGCCAAAGCAATGCTCGACATTTGGAACAAGTCGTATTAAATCCTGATAGTTGTGAATATTCAGCAATAATTCGAATAGAATGTCGACGATGTGTATCAATTTGAAATTGACTTATGACAGTTTCAGCTTGCCGTTGACGATTTCGAAAAGAAACTGGTCCCTACAATATAGAAAAAAATTAGTTAAAATTTTGATTCGATTTATTCGCCAAAAATTGTTTCTAGGAAAAACGTTTATCGTCATGCCAATAAAACCGGAAAAGAATTCGATTGAACTAAGTACGTATTTTTATCAAAAATCAGATTTTCTTATTATTCACATAATAAACAAAGTACTTCCTTTTTTGGTAACTTTAAATAAAATTATTTTTAGACGAAAAGCAAAACATGCATTTATTTGTGTATAACGTGAATACATATATATATACGTACGGAAACACCAAGAAAATGGATTTCTTCTAATAGAGTCAACCAACTATTTCTCATATTCACCGCAGTATAGGTAAATTCATCGATCGATATGCTATTATCGTAAAGAGACAACAAAAGACATGCCGTTCACAATGAACAATTTATATTCGTAATTGAGTTACTTATGTTCTACAGATGTTCTTATTAAGAGAGCAATGACCCATATGGCATCATAAGCATGCAGCGTTTGCCGATCGAGCGGAGTTTTTATATGAAGCGTCTTCTGTAATTGATGTGCCGTCTAGAACGAGAAGGAGAGAGAGAGAGAGAGAGAGAGATAAAAAAACAGATTGTAAAATTCTTTTATATGAATTTTGCTAGTCAGTGTACCATATTTGGATTAATGCAACTAGGTTTTCTTGTATATGAACTATCGATAATAATATGACCGTGAGCTGCATCTAAAATTTCTTCTTTTGTACAATTACTAATTGAAAAATTCCATGAATCATAATCATTTCCAGTTAAAATCCATACATAACGTTCACGTACTTCTTTAATAAATGTTCGATACACGTCGCAAAAGAATATAGCACGTGATGATGTATCAAAATTAACAAAGACAATGCGAGCTTTTTTTCCCTGCAGAAACAAAAGAAAGACAAATGATTCTAAGAAATTTTTATGTCACTACTTGAAGATTTCGTAATGCTGATGTTAGATTAAGTCGTGATGCACTTTGAGTAAATAAAACATTTATATTGGATTCATTTAGATATTTAGCTAATTTTGCCATCATCTTTGAAATGAAAAAGCAAAGAGCTCGAAAATTTGACTTTTCGATTAGAGAAATTTTAGTTACAAGAGATTGTTCAATGGAATCTTGATGAATAATAGCTGTATGAGACCAATTATTATATTTAATAAAAGCGACACGAGCATCATTATAATTCTCATCTGATACAGAAAGTCGCACTAATGTTGAATACGATTGATTAACTTGAGAAATAAATGAAGTTGAATGCGAAAACTAGAATGCGCAGTTTTTCATTATATTGATCGTAAGTCTATTGTTTTTGTTAACTTACCAAAATTAGATTGTAATAATCAGCAACATCGATGATGGCTTTCGTTTCATTTGAACATGATGTACCAACAAGAAAATGTAATTGTGGACGACGAAAAATTGCATGAAAAAATGCGTCCACTGCATAAATCGGATCACACTATTGACGATAAATATAAGTATTAAAAGTTGGAAAATATATTTATTTTGATACCCGAGAATTATTTGATATTAATCGAAGTACGTAATTTCCATGGAACAAATCCTTTTGACGATGATTTATTTCGGTAATAGCTATTTGAGCTGCTCGCAAATCTTGTCGGCCATTGTTTACTGATGGATGTTCGAAATCGAACAAAGCACCAATACGTATTATACTTAATTTATTCGTTGGATTACTAATACTCGAAGTGATTAAAGCAAAAACTATCAAACATTGAGAATACATTCGAAAGCATTATGCAATCGAAAATATAAAATCCGAATACATCTGTAAATTAAGATTACAACATTTACATGAATGCACTTATGTTGAAGGTTTTCATTGAAATGACATAAAATTAAAAAAAGAAAGGCTCTCTAATGATAACAACACACACTCATTTGTCTCACTGCCAGATGCAATTCAGTTTTATTCATTTTGTATGGTATGCATTCCAATCAACGAGTAAACACATAGCTACTAAAACCGAGACCGAGTGAATGTGTGTTCTTGCACGAATGGCATGCTTTTCTCCTGAGCGAAGATTCTTTTTTTTTTTTTTTTGATTATTCTGTTATGATCTTTACAATATGAAGAAGAAAAGAAAGAAACGAAGAAGATGATGATCAAGATTCTATATATCTATCGAGAGAACGGCAAACTGAAATATAAAAACGATTAATTAAGAATGTAAAAAAGAATCATCTTTACGGCAACGAAAAACAAATTAAGACAAGGAAAAAATGCAAAAGATTTTCTTACTTCCCTTTTTTGTTGAAAATAAAGCTATTTAAGTAGAGACTATGCATCTGACAAGCATTTTGTTTTCAACTTCATTCAATATTGGATTAGATTTTTGTCATGCGACATACACAGACATGTTAACAACAATAAACGATCTAAATAGGAAATTCCTAGTTTTTTAATTTTCTATTTAAAAATAATCAGATAGTCTAGCTCAAACAAAGATACACCAATCAATATTTTTTCTGATTTTTATTAAATTTCTTCCAGATCTAACATCAGAAGAATTTCTTTTTCTTTTTTTAATAACGAAAACAACAAAAGAAAAGGAGAAAATAAAGTTATGAGATTTTCTTATTTGCATGCTAAGGTTTTTTTCTTTTGATCATAATTAAAATTCATTTCATCGTCCAGATTTTATATGGAGAAACAAATAAACTTCACTGATTTTCTCTCTCTCTCTCTTTCTCTATACCTGTATGTCTACAAAGGTGATTATTACGACAAAAAAATAAAAAGATCGAAGAAAAAACGGATTATCATTTGTAAAATATTTTGTTAAGAACACATACAAACGAATCTAAATGCATTTTCTCGTCTATTTTGCACCCACTGGTGAACGTACAATTTATCACAATGAAGAAAACGTCGAAAAATTAAAAGTCCAAGATCTTATTGACTGGATTTCTGAGCGATTTCATTTTGAAACGAGTAATGGCGAAATAGATAATCGACGTTTGTCATTATTGTACGAAAATACTGAAATACAACCAACTTGGTTTGTTCAAGATATAAACATACGTTTTGGAGCAACAGTGAGATGTGTTGTCATTGAAGGTTTGTATTTAGTTGAAATATTTTGTTTTGAAACAATAATTTAAAAAATTATTCGTAGTCTTACTTGAAAAAACAAAAACGAAACTTGCATGTAAATGAACGAATATAATAGAAGACAGATAAATATTAATTTAAGCATAACTTTGTTGTTTTTATGTGAGAGTTACTATTTACAATTGGGGAATCCTTACATTTGAAAAAGAAAAAAAACAGAATCAATTCTATTATTAAAAATTTGAAATTGCTTAAAATACAATAGAAATATATTCAAGTACTGAATAATGCGCTCACAAGTCTTAGTGAATATTTAAGGGTTTACTGTCGAAGTACTTCAAAAGTAATTTTCGATCTATTTTTACTATATCTATATGATAATCACTTGAGAAAGCAACAATAACAATAACATTTTTATTTCTAATTTTCTGTAATCAGATAGAGTATTTCATGTTGCATCGATTCCCCGAAGATCGAATCTATTAGAAGAAGAAAAATTATTGATGTCTTTTATTTATCTCTTCATTCAATGTCAATTATAGTTACCCACAAATATAGTTCTACTCCATGAATTCTCAAAACATAAATCAGAGATATTATCGAATATTTTGTGGAACTCACATATATTTTCGAAGAAAGTAGTGAGTGTAAGTTGAATTGTTAGGTTTTTGCGGCTTCTCTGTACCCCACCCACCCCCTCCTCATTACAGACATAAAATATAAAAAAACTAACACTTAGATGCACTAATTAGAAACTTTTTTGATACAGGTCGATTGCCTATGTTCACCACTACTCACATCAGTAATAAAAATCTAGTTTCACTAATTAGAAATCATTATAATTAGGATTTAATTTCTAATTAATCATCAAAATCTGTCGTTTTTATTATTATAGTCCATAGTTACGACAGTATCGTATATTTTTATTATTACAGACGTTAGCAACGAGTGTATGCTACCGCTACAGAAGCTAGCAACTAGTTTCTGCTACTATTACACGCGTCACTTCTACCACCTACAATAAACAGATGAAGATTTTAATCTTCTTTTTCTCACGCAAATACCTTATTCTATAGCTTGAATCCACTTTAGTGTATTTACAATTCTCACCTGATAATACGAAAAAATATAAATTTCTCAACAATATTGGTAGCTATATCCTAAATACTGTTCAAACAATTATCATTCACAATATTTCTCAATGAAACCACTAAACACTTCAGCATACGGACATATACACAGTCTCTCTAGCAATATTTCCTATCGATAGATTCAATAAACTTCAAATGTTAAAAAGGTTTTATTATCTTATTTTTGAACAAAATATGATCTCACTACACTGAAAAAAGAAAACTTCTATTTGATCAGTATCTAACTGACCGAAATATGTGAGTTTCACATTTTAGCCCCAACGGGGCTGCGCTGAAAAGCTTTTTTAAAATCAAATTAATGTTGACATAATTATTAACTTCGCGAAATGCAAAAACAATAGCAATCTTCTCTTTTTTTTAATGTTTAGATCGTATCCCTGAGTATCGTCTCTTTTTACCTATTCGAAATGAAACATTTGATGTATTTGATTCAACTCTACATCCCATTGAAACAACTATTCTTCAATTACGAGTTGTTGCTAGTAGAAAATCCGGTTTACCATTATCAGCGTTTCGTCTAATTAATGATAGAAACAATGAATTATTTGATCATATAAGATTATCACAATACGATATAGGTTTGTATTTTTAATAATATTAATGCATTAGAGAAATTCCTTTTTGCTTTTAGATTTTCGTGCAACATTAGATATACAAACATGGACTGGGTGGTCGGATTTTTTTACTTATGCAATGAAAGGTATTGACTTCAAAGTGTCTATCTATTCTACGATGTTTCTTTGTTTTTTTGCATTCAAGGATATACAAAAGCTGTACTGAAACTGCTTAGTTCAGACGAACTTGTTCGACAATATATGCTTCAAGTTGCTTTATATATTGCTGCTCATTATGGAAATGTTGATTTAGTAATTAAGTTTGCTATGACTTTCTTTTATTAGAAATTGCTTTTTTCCTGATGTTTATTTCAGGCTCGAGCTTTACTTCAAGCAGGAGCACGTGCGGATCGTCCAGTAGGCCATCATCCGTCTCGTCAATGGTGTTCATCTGAATCTCCTCATCCTGAATATTTTCGTTGTCCTGTACATGAAGCTATTACGTCTCAACAAGTTGGTATTGTTCTTCTATTTGGCTGTCGTGAGGCGTCTATATTTCTAAAACCTGATGGTTACGGTGTAAAACCATGGAGATTAGCGTTGCGTCAAGAAGTTAGTGAAAAACAACGTGAAATAGCGTTGTTTATTCTATCGAAACAATTTGGTGACGTGCAACTATCAAATAACATCACACTACCTCATCGTCATATTTACGCATTTAAACAATGGGCAGAAAGAGCACGCGAACGTGTATATGCTAAGCATGGTTTAAGTTTTAGTTCATTAAAACGTAAACCATTAATAAAGAATGGTGAATCATTGCTAGGCTATAAAGTGTTAGTTGATGGTTTTAACAATGATTTTCAAGATTATTATTCAACTGCTGAATATGCAAAAGAAAAAGTACGTCCAGCATACGTCGTACTTGATGAAAGAGAAAAGAATAGATTGAAAAATATCGAAACACAGATGAAAAAGTATGTTAAATTTTGAGAAAAAAAAACTGAATTTTAAATGCCTGATTTTATTTTCTCAAGCTTTATTACATCGGGTCCAACACCTGCAAAACAAGTTGCAGTAAATCTAACATCCAATCATTCTATAAAAGGTGCAATACCATCAGATGCAATTACACATACAGGAGGAACTAATGTAGGAAAAAAACTATGGACTATGGTACGTTTGATATGAGACGAGTTGTTCGTACTCTTTTTCATTTCTTTTTATTGACATCTCTATTTGATTAGGTTGCGAACTATTATCATTTGGAATCATTTCTTCTTCGAAATGCTATTGATCTCATTGAAGCAAGTCTTATTACCGATGAATCAACACCGCCTCCAAATCGGCAGGTACGTTGAAATAAGTAGAATCAACGAAAACAAAAGAGTAGCATGATGAAACCATTAATCTCAATATTATATCAGTAGTTCTATCACTAGATGGTGCTAATAAATATGTCCGGGTCAGCTTCTTCGTTTTCCGTCGCGTCAAAGAAAAAACGATCACATAACATCTTATTAATATTCTATTTATAATAGTTACCATCATAGAAATCTTCATATAGATTCATACAACTGATAGCATACTAGAAAGTGGATGTGCTAATTTGAAATTTAATTATGTATCATTTTCTAGAATGCTCAAGGGCTAGCTCCTCTAGCAGCTAGTCGTGTATCGTCATCAATTTCATCGAATTCAACAGCAAATGCTTATCTTCCAATTCGTATTCGTTTATTTGTTGAACGATTTCGTCTAATAAAAGAAATGATGTATAATGCAGATAAAGACGGTCGAACCCTACGTCATTTGAGTGGTGTCGAATGGGCTAGAGTAAAACGTGGCCAGGGTAATGAGTGGCAAACTCAACGAGCGAGTACAGGTCACGTTTTAAAAGCCAAACAGAGCCAAGCTAAATTAAAAGCAAAAAAGAAAGCCGTGACTATTCGACTACCTGACATTCGACAAGAATCTTCGTCAGGAAAAATACCTTTACCTAAAGACCGACACAAAGTTGATTATCGTTTTATTTTGCGTGGCAACGATAGACTTTATCATGAAATAATGTATGATTGGGAACGAGCAGCTGATTTAAAGCTGCCATCATTATCCATACGTAGTCTAACTGAAGCAACTAAATTTCAACGAAAATCTTGGATGCGCCAAGTTGGAGCCGCTCTTCAGTTTTCGAGAAATCGTACTCGTCGAGTATTTCAACGGGTGACTTAATGAATCGTGCAAAATCTTCTTTTTGTTTTTATTCTATTAATTCTCTCTTCAATCTAGTGTAACAACAATTTGTTAGAATACTTCACAGAAGTTGAAATGTCTAAAGAATATGTTTTGATTGAAAATAGGCATTTGAATTTCACTGAACTTTGCCGATCATCATCAGGGTATTTTTGTACAGCTTCCTATGGTAAATTGCTGTTATACTATATTGAAAGTAATATTAAAGCAAAATGTTTTTTTTATGCTCCTTGAATCATATTGCAATTTGAATTGCACGAAATACAAAATCGTTTTAAATTCATTTTTTTCGATTTGTTTTAAATAAACTAACCAATACAGCGAAGATTTTTCCGAGCAGACAAGCAGACAGATAGAGAAACCTCCCAGTACGATTTATTGTAAATATTTCACTTTTTTCTTCTTGTATGTAACTCTATTCTTTTGCAAGTTGATTGGATTTGATTATTAATATTCGTTTTTCGCTTGTTTCAATACTTCATTCTTGATGCAATCTTTATAAGACAACGTATTCTTTAATTCTATACTACTTCTTCTTGCCTATGCAATTCACTTTGCGTATTTATGTACATTTTTTGTGTTGTTGATTGTCATAGTTTCTTTTCTATCCATGAGTTATTCAAGCACATAGTGATTTATATTTAGTTCGCGTTCATAGTGTAAAGTAAAAATTTTATTAATTATTCATTTTGCAAAATCTTTTTATTTTTCATAAAATAAACCGAATCAAACAAAACAAAAATATATAACTTAATCATTTTATTGTCTTGTTTACAAAAACGTGAAAGAAAAAATCGTAAACAAAATATTACATTCATATTTATAAACGTTAAAAATGAACAAAATCGTCTTCTATAATGGGTAAGCGAATCTCTTTAAGATGTTGTTGCTGTCGTTGCATTATTATCATCATCGACGGTAGATGTTGATGGTGGTGCTTGTGTTTGCCGGCGAATTGCCCAACATTGTGGCTGACGATATGCTGTTCCACCTATTCGAACATTCGTTACTGTACCGAAACGTAATAATTCTTTATGATATTTAATAAAATTATTCAGTTTTCTTGCGTCACCAAATGGTAATTGTAGACGTGTTAAATGCTCGCGAATTTCTGTGGTTGCCATACCGATTTGTAAACATTTAAATATTTCATCTTTAGTTGCATCTGTAATACTAACTGGAAGACGATCTTTGGGAATATGTTGATGTTGTCCACATGAATAAATTGATATACTTCCTTCCGGATGAAACAATGCGTACATTGCGGCCGGACATGGATGATAATGACGACGCATAGAAAAATTACAAACATAATAGACCTTGTAGCCGCGTGAATTCGCCGATGTTCTTCGCCAAGTCCAACGCGAGCCAGACTCCGATGATGAAGTTTCGATGAACGCATTCAACGATTGTTGATCAGGCAATTTAACTAAAAATCCATATTGACGACGACTTAAACGTGTACCTTTCGTTCCATTGACTGATGAAGTTTCATCATCGTTTGTATTGGGTGAAAAAGATTGTTCACCATCTGTTCAGATTTATAGCAAAAAGAAAATGATTTTTTTTCTCTTTTTATGAATAAAATAAATAATAACGTACCGCTAGATGGTTGATAATTTATTGTTAATGGTGCTTGTTCATGCGTTGAACTACTACAACGTCTTATTTCTGATTGTTGTGGATGACCTGATGGCGACGATGAATTAATCATAAGTTGAGTGTAAGCTGACTAGAATTTCGATCAAAATTTATTTTTCTTTTCTTTTCTTTCGAATTATTTATAAAAGAAAAAAAACACATACAGTCGTTTGATTATTGATTGCCGAATTCAATAAGTTAGTTGGATAATATTCATGTGAATTTGGAATTCTTGAATGAGATGTCGACTTTGGCACGTATGATGTGAAATCTTGCTTCGGATCAGATTGTTTTGATTGGCATAAATTAATATTTTTTGTTTTCGATAGTAGCTGTAATTGTTTTTTAGTCTAAAATTTAAAAAGAAAATCTATTCTCTGAAAGCTAAATTAGATTCAACTTACACGAGGTTTACTTTTAGAGTTATCAATTATTTCATTATTTTTATCGTATAATGGATGAGTCACTTTTAATAGGTGTATCTTATTATGTATAGATTGAGCGTTTGACAGATCGTATGGAGTATTTGCAAGTACTGTTTCAGATACAGCAATGGGCGATCGTTCCATTGGTAGTTTTATTTCATCGGGCACTTGTTCGATGTCAAGTTCTTCTTTAATTGTTATAGTAATATTATCATCGGTAGCCGTTGTCGGCAGAGGATACGATGAAGCGTTTTCATTGATTGTTGGAAATTTTAAATGGAAATGGCGAGCTCGATTTAATCGTTTTGTTTTATGCCACGTATGACGAATTTTTGTCGTTAAATCTTCGGCATCTTTATGCAATGTATAGACCCGCTGTAGATCCTGACAACATTTGAGACATATCATTTTTAATTTATCTGATTCATAGGTTCCATTTAGAAATCGTTGACAACATTCATTGTAAGTTATATTTTTATCTAAGTTTTCATGAATCGATTTGCCTCCGAGTAAATATCGATGACTCGTTGAAGCTTTGAGTAATGAGTCACATAATGAGCAACGTACGCGATGTTTATCAGCACAATATGATATCTTATGTGTCGATAATTGCCGAACAGATTTAGGATTTACTAAATAATTATCAATATGAATTCGTGAAAAAAAAGAATTTCTCACAAAATAATTCAATCGACTTACATTGCTTATATTTCATTTTGAGAATAGGCAATAGTAGGATAAATTCAAATCTAAAGAGATAATAAAATAAAAAATTGAAGCACCTGTGTGAGTGTATTTTTTTATGGATTATATCATATCGTTATTTAACGAAAAATGTTCGAAGACATTGGTCTTATCTTTTATTTTGTTGGTGACGAAAATGTGGCCTACAGAAAGATGTTTTGTGTATGCTATTATTTTGTGTAATACTGTTGTTCGTGTCGCTGTGGGAGCAATCTTCTCCTCTTCCTGTTCTTTTTGTCCTCACATCAAACGCAAACATAGTGACCATGTTGAGTGCGAATTCTGCTATTTCTTTTTCTTTTCGTCTCCTTATTACATCAGTGAAATGAAAAGAAACGAAAACGAACTCACTCTGCGTATTCAAGAATTTCTAATGATGCTTAACAACAGTTGAATTTCTTGCTGAGAGTATACGTCAGCGGAAAAGCAAAAACGAAGTATTTGATTCTATATTTTGTATTTTTGAGTCCTATAGGCTTTGCCTAAATAGTGCAAAAAAGTGAATAAAAGTTTTCTCTCTGAATATTGTGTATATTGATTCAGTGGGATATGTTGTTTGTCACATCTTTTTTCGTTTTTCTTCCTTTTTTTTGAAAACAAACCATTTTTTTTTCTTCCTACCTAGGAAAAGAAACGACTGAAATATTAAAGAGTAAGTGAGATTGGTTTGTCAGGGAATTGCGTCGTCACACAGTTGAATCATGCCCAAAGCAAATACAATTGTATTTACTTTGTTGACATCTTATATTTTTTTTTCCAACTTTTTTTTTTTTTTATATTGTAAAATATTGCTTTAAATCAGGAAAAATCGAAGACTTTTTAATTTGCAATGAAAGTTTTTTCTTTTTTCGTCATGAAAACATTCAGAATGAGAATTGTGCGCAAAACCGTAAAACCATTACGTATCTTTAAGTGGCTCATCTGATTAAAATAAAAGACGAAAATTTTTATCACGAAACATTTGCAATACTCAACAGTAAAAGTAATACCATTCTCAAGATACGCGTTACTTATGTGCCGTGAGAAAATGAAAGAGCATGTCCTTTCTTTATTTTATTACTCATCATCGTTTTATTTTCGGTTGCCATACATAAATACTTGCCTACTCATTTCATTTTCTCACAATATCATTCGAGTATACTTTTCGAATGTGTCAATTCTCGACTAACAAGATAAACTTTGTTGGCCTTTAAGGATATTTGTTTTTCTTATTTTTTGATAAAAAATTCCTATCTTATAGCTCTTACTTGAAGAGTCCGAAATTCAAAAAACATTTGATCTCATGAAAAAATTTGTCGTAGATGAAGTTAACAATGTTACTGGTAGTTCCTATGTGCAGTCATACGAACCAGTTTATTACAAATAAATAGAGGCCTATGATGGTCTTGCGAAAATATACAAAATTTCATTGAGTCATATTCTGACGAAGAAAAAAGTCTTATAATATCCTACAGAATAAAATAAATCAACAACATCAGTCTTCTATTCCAATAGGCAGAGTTATAAAGTTCGATGTACCTTCAAGGATATGATGGCGGACATTAAATAAATACATTGAAACATTCCCAATGATTTATAAATACGTAGTATCATAGGTTTGGTTACGAACATATACGTAAGTTTTATTTCATTAAACTCACTATCACATAATTGAAAAACCGAATATTGTCATATTAGTTTAGAAACTCAAGATACCAAGAATACCTTATCAATATTTATTTTTATTATGATAATTTAAGTCAGCATGCAAAACTGCTTGGGCTAACACATATGTTTACGATAATTTTATTCTCCATTGGAAGCATGCTTTTATTTCATCTAGTTAGTTCTGTTGTAGACAAATGCAATTCGCGCGTTCCATGGAGTTATGTTTACATTGGAAAACATATATTATTCGATGTAGTTTCACATGCTGATTCCTATTTTTAATATTATGCTAATGTAAACGTCACTGCAATCAGAAAATGGGAAACTTCTTTTTCATATTGAAACAAAGATAAATAAAGAATTTTCAAGTTCAATTGTTCAATTCCGTTAAACATTTATTTTCACCGTCTTTCACAATGAAAACCAATTAAGTGTGCTTATAAAAAGTGCTTTTACAAAGACTTATTTTAGTTGATGACTTGAAATGAAATAAATTTTTTCCATTTAGGACGTCGTTAAATTTATTTGCTATATTGCACTCTATGATTCGATGTGGATACAAGCGGCTGATGTCATTCGCTGTTAGTTGGGTATTTTATTTTTATTAAAAATTCGCAAATCGATCAAAGAAAAAGAAAAATATCGAGAGCGATTATTTTTTCTTTTAGTCCACACTGATGTTTATTCTCTGTGTTCAAATGTGGAGAAATCAAAAATTTGCACAATAAGAATTAGCAATTTCGTCTTTTATGCTTTCAACAAAATGCGATTCGTCGTCAAACATGCAAACTATTTTCAATTCTTACCACACAAACATTTGCGTAAAAAAAAGTCGAATAGGATGAGAGTTACCATCGTCGGCGTTCGCCAAGGATTCCGATGGTTTCTATGATCTATTTACTTGAAACAAGTGCTGATTTAAAATTCACTGGGATCTTTTTTTTTTGTTTCTATTGTTTTAAATGTGCACCGATATATCTACGAAAGAGTTTCATGTTAGCAACTGACTTTTTCTTTTTAGTTTATTCAAAAGAATATATGAAGCTGCGAAGCTGACAAAATCTGTATTGTAAATTAAGCGTAATTATTATTCTTTGAAAAAGCATTTCTATAAATAGGATACCATTTTCTTAAAATTTTTCAAGGTATTATACTTGTTGTCCTATGTCGCTTCATCAGAAAACAAGAAGCTTTGAAAAAAATAATAGTTCTGAAAACATTACATTTCAGTATGTTTTGTGCAGACAGATGCCTAATGAGCTTTGTGATTTTATATATACGGAGGTAGAAGTAATGATAGGAAACTGCATGAAATGTATCGATGCATGCAAGGATTTCTTAGCAACGTAGAGAGAAACATTTTAAGAATTGAGTAACGTGTCAAAGGAAATAAATAATATTTTCTGTATCGTGACACGCAATAAATAATTATTGACATTGGCACAACTAGAATGCTGATTATGACTGCCTATGGGAAATTATTTCTTTTAAGAAATATGTAACTTCGAACTGAAGAAAAAAAAAGTATGACTGACATAAATGTAATGTCACTAGTTACCTTATCATTGTTTTTCGTTTTTATGATCCTATCAAAAGTCTTCTTTCCAACGGTTTTTCTTATCGGCAACTGCATTTTAACTGGGAAGTACTACAGTCATTGCCGTAGGTTGTCGCCGAAAGTTGTGTTTTTACATTTCGGTAAAGTAACTACAAACCTATAACATAAAAATTCGTGGAAATGTTCGGCAACTATCTCGATGCAGGTGTCAATAAAAAGACAATGATGACGTAATTGAAATTGTTTAAGAATAAATCACGTAATATGCAGTAGAAGCAAAAGCATGTTCTGGCATCGAAAGCAAATGGAATGATTTTTTTTGTAATCGGAACGCTGTTAAATGATGTTGTCAGTTTCGGATTCGAACGAGTTTTTTTGTTATTGAAACGAGCAAATTTTGCACTGAATAGTTTTTTCACGAAAAATCTGAAAAGGAGAAAAGTGGTCAATAATTTTGTTCCAATTCGATAGCGAAAAGTTTTGCGAAATAAAGATTTTTATCAGTCGCAAGACATTTTCTATAGGCATTTAGTTTTCGCTCCTTTCTCGATTCGTCCTAAACAAATATATTTGTTCTGAAGTTCGAAGTGCTGACTTGGCTTTTTTCAACAACAAAAAGATTTGATGGAGTTAGAAGTCTGTAATATCGTCTAACAGTGTTTCACATTTGGGCCAAGAGTTTTCCATCGCATGTTAGTTAGTCTTTCGAAATTATGTATTTTTTGAGATGAAATACAAAAACTATCAAGAATTGGATAAAGTACTATTAAATTAGTTTTATACAAACAATATTTCAGTAAATAAATATTTTACTTCATTAATGAATAGAAAATAAAATGTCCTCTCAACAACGTATCCAACTTTTGTTTACTTGACATGTTTTCTTGTTCATAAGTTTTCTTCATCGAAGTGTCCACGAGGAATAATACGTTCTGGTGAGATTGTGTTTTACTGCAAGAACATTTTTGAAAGTATCAATCTGAAAGGATTTTTACATTATTACTAATGGTACGCGCTGTAACATGATAATAGGGCTATGGGAATTACACTTGCTGTTTTTTGCCAATAAAAATATCAGCCTTCTTTTGAATGCACTTCACACCTATCATGCTTATGCATTATGTTGTTTGAATATTTAATTCTTCGAGCAACTGTTCTCAAGTAAACTCATCATAATTCCATTTGCTTTTACTGCAATAGCAAAGTAAATGAATATTAATGCTTCGTACATTTTTCATCTGTTTTGATGTCTTTCTTTGTGATATCAACAAAGTTTAACAAGGCATCGTTGTTTCAAAAATTGAAGTGAAATTCAATAGTAAAATTGAAATAACAGATTGAGCGTCTCTTAGATTTTTATGTTTTCTGTTTATAATTAAAATAATTTTAATGACGAACAATGAATCTAATTATTGCTGTATAAATAAAGATTTTCTTCGGTTCTGCGAAAGGAAATTTAAAATTCCGTTTTAATTAGCGATGCAAACGAGTCGAGAGAGTGTTTCTTTTTATTTTATCAATGATTTTGTTAATTTTTCATCGAGAAAAAAATCTCGAGATTAGTTATTCTTAAATTGGTAATGGCTCCGAATCGATAAATGCTTCACGCTTTTGAAAGAAATTCTTTTAGTCATTTTATCTGCTCCGTTGAGAAATCAACAACATTAGATTCGTTATGATAAAACAAATTTTTGTTTTCTTGATGTGTATGAACGACTCTATGATAATATGATCTATATTCTATCTTAGATGATAAAATATTTATTATTCTGAATGCGTAATACAATGATCAAATTCTCTTAACGAATGTCAGAATAAAATTCGAGTATTCTTATTAGTTTGAAGTTTTTCAATAGTGAAAGTGAATACTGATGCATTTAAATCAACAGCAGCGACATAGAAGAGCTTTAATCAACGTCCCAGTACATTTCTTAGTCGATTTCATTGAATCATAGAACTAACTAAAAGCAATATGTCAACACAAGTTTTATGCTGTGTTCTTCCAATTTTAGAAGCTTAATGCTGTCAATAATAGAACGCATTTTTGTTCATTAGCTTAATAATTCATTTTATCACAATCGGCTCAATTTAACAATAAGAATATGAGGCGCAACAAAAAAAAATCACAACTGTATTCTTCAATGAGATTGAGACTTGTAGTACATTTATTTTTCTCATCAATAGCTTTCCTTTTCAACAACTATATGAACGATTAGCATTCTGATGTTGCTGATTGTTCAAAAGAAAAAGAATTAATTAATTTTAGAATCATGATCTCAAAGCTCAATTGGTATTCGAATATCCGCTTGTTTTTTTGTATACAACCTATTTTTCTGTTAGTTCCAGAGGAATATCAGCTGTAAATTTTTTTCAAGGAAGAAAAGAGTTGTTATATTTATTTTTAGTATCATGTCAACGTCTACGATGAAATTCAAGTCGGTTGAGTGTTAACTCAGTTATGGTAATAATTAGTGACCTGCCGTTTTCAACAATTAAGAAAAAAAGAACGTAGGATGAATATCTGTGTAATGCTTATTACGAGGGAAGAAACTTTTTTTTAAAGACGGACAATCTTTGATGCAATGTAATTCAATTGATATTTGTAATTTCATCGGAAAGGAACGCAACTTTTTCGCGCAAATATTAAATTTTAAAATAAACCTCTAGTTATCAAAAAAATGACACAAAGCTATCAAAAGCTTGAAATGTCATGACTTAATAGTTGCTAATAGGCCAGCTGAAATAATCTCACTATAAAACATAGCGAAGAATCAAACAATGGCTTGAAAAAGAATATTTAATAAAAGAATTTAATTTGACAAATACTTGTTGTCTTGACATCCTCAACAACGAGTATAAGAACGTACAATTTTCTAGGGCATTTTGACTTTCGCACCTGTTTGTTTTCAAAAAAATTGGATTCACCTCACGATTTATTTTGTTTTCATAATGGAAAAGTGATACTTGTTAGAATAAAATCCTTTTAAGAGATTGAACGATTATTAATTAAATACAATTTCTAACATATTGCAATAGCTGAAAATAAACACAAGGCTGTTTTTTCTCTCGAATTAACACGTTCATTTTGACTAAACAATAAATGCAGTGCAGATGTTCTCTGTCTTAGTTCGACTTGATAATAAAACACTATAAATCAAAGAGATCTTATTGAAACCGATTTTTAAATGATTCTCTGGCAAAGTCAAAGTGTTTTGCTTTCTATCTTGTGCCGCATAAAATTATTCATTAGAATTGAAGGACTTGGCTTAGTAAACTCTTTTTTCTCTCATTATGAATTTCTCTACTATCTGACTTATCAATCAATCTCTATAACATGTCTTCATGTCAATTGCAAAGCTAATTATAAATCTTCTCCTCATGCATATTCGGTACTTTTTCTTTCAACTACTAGATCCAATAATCTAATGATCAGAATCAAAAATAAGTATTTATTACTCGTTTTCTCCCAAAATAATGGGAAACCTTATGTTCAAAAATATTCAGGTAATTATTCTTCTCTTGTAAGATTTCAGAACGAAAACATATAACGTTTGAACGACTATAGGATAACATATATTTATATATATGCACGCATGCGTAAATAATTTTTGTTAACTTTATTAAGTTAACGATAATAAGAATGGCACTGTGTGCCAATCTCGACTGAGTATTTCGGCAAGAACGGACTTAGCTATGCAAGAAGCCGAAGAAATGGAAGAGAAAAAGAAAGCGGGCTGATCTTGTTCTGCCGTTTCTGTTTCCGTTCATAAGGAATTACTTCGAATAGCATTATAAGAGTAAATATACACATAGGCATACGCATACACATTTATTCACAATTCGCAAGAGCAAGAGAAGAAGAAGAAAAACAAGTAGAAAAAAATCAGATGTCAACAGAGCCACCACCATCACCACCACCACCACCACCAACGCCACAAAAGTTGGACTTTGCTCCTTTACATCGTTCAGTTGAATTAGAAAATATTCATGCACAAGTTATAAAAAATGATCCACAACAACCAGAATCAAAATCAACACGTAAAATACTTGTTAAACATATGACTGTTATTGGTGATGGTAGTGATATGGACAATAGTGAAATAATCACACAATAGTGACGTACGTTTCGAAAAATTCATCGATTCTTCTACTCGTCATTAATAAATTTACATTTCTATAAAGACATGTATTGAATAAAATTATTTAGAGATTTTATCTTAATTTTAATTAAAATTTGATCGAGACTAAACAAAGCTTCAACATGAATTTCTATTTGTTACAATTGCAATTGAAGTATTCTTCATCCAAAAGAAACCACAAATATCGATGAGTATGCTTGATTATTTTTTTAAATCTTATCTAGGCACTTGATTGACATAAGATTTCAGAAAACAATCAGGAAAAAAATATTAACTGTCGTAATTGTTCTTTTTTCCGTCTGTGTGTTAAATCAACAATCTATTCATAATAGATTACGACTCATTTGGCTTTATTTGATGAATGAAACGAAAATTTTCTTAATTATGTTCAATACAATTGTGTTTTTATCACCTACGATGTTTCACGACGGAACAATCTTCTCATTGTTTTTCTTAACGGTCTAGTAAGTTGTATAAGCATATAGGCAAGAAAAACAAGTGAAAATGAAACAGATAACCAACCGATACGATATGTTAGCGATACAAGATGTCGAGTTAATATTAAAATAGTTAAAAATATCATTGAAGGCAAACCAAGAAAAATAAGCGTAGTTAACATGAGCAGAAGTCGTCTTATGACTTTTAGATTTCTTCGATTATGTCTCGATCGATGACGATGTCTATAGCGCAACGAATTTGCTTGACGGCCAATATGATTTAGTAAACATAAATAAATTATTGCGATGAATACAATGGGAAGAAAGAAAAGACGAACGGCTATGTAGACTATACCAGGAATGTTTGTAAATGGTGTTTGACAATAATATTCCGACGGTAGATAGATAACATCATCACGGATAATAACTGGTGATATACTGATTAAACCAAATAATGATACAACAAGTATAACAAGACAGTAGACAGGAAAATTATGTAAAATTTTACGCCGAGGGAAAACAACACGAAAAAATCGAAATGTTGCTTGTAAAACATATGAATCGTAGAGTATGCAAAGAACAGCATGAATAAGAAAACCACGCCAACGACACCAATTTGTATTTGCATGTTGTTTTAGTTCGACATTCATAAATCCTATTATACTAGATGTAACCATACTGCCTAACAATATTGCGGATATCAATAAGGTCAAACATGTATGACAAGCTAATAGAATTAGTACTGTACGTGTTTGTCGATGAAAAACGATCACGAGTAAAAACGTAAATAAACAAATTAGAATTGTTGCAATTGAATTAATCAATGTAATGATATTTAAAATAATGTTTATAATTGACCAAAAGTTCATTTTACCGTATAATCATAATAATAATAATAATAATTCGAGTTCACCTAGAACAACACCGATGAAAATAAATTGCTAAATTCTTCACTCGATAGTATACAAAAGTTTATCTGGTTTGTGTCCTCGTGTTATACATCGATTAAATCAATTGAGTTTGATTAGTTTTGCAGTAGTCTGTTAGAGGTAGAGTCTGGCATCCTAATTCTGCGGGAAAAAATGATTCTCACCATTTCATTCGCAAGAGGAGATATATGAATCATAGAAAATTAATGTTTACGTTGCGAGGAAGAGCAAACCTTTCTCTATCAAGTGATATAAAATTAGTTGAATAATATATTATTCAACTAATTTTATATCACTTGATAGAGAAAGGTTTGCTCTTCCTCGCAACGTAAACATTAATTTTCTATGATTCATATATCTCCTCTTGCGAATGAAATGGTGAGAATCAATTTTTTCCCGCAGAATTAGGATGCCAGACTCTAATCGAGGTTGAAGAATGATGTATTAAAGTGCGTTTTGAACATCTGCTCAATAGAATTATTTAGCCTTAAAAAACTTTGCTTTTTCATCGTAAACATCAATATTTTATTCCAAATGATGTTTACGTGTTCATCATTCTGGGCAACTTTATTGACATCAATTCTTAAGAAATAAAGGCAACAATAGGACATAATCCGTTCAACGAGCTTTAAGTCTCTATTCAAATGAGCTAATTACTAACGATAATTTAGTTTGTCGTTCCTCTCAAATCACAGTATACTATTGTACTATTCTAAAAAGTCTTTAATTGGCAAATAAGTGCAATAGTTTTCTGAATTTTTCAAAATGATATTGACTCATTACTGAACTAGTTTGACATCGGTTGGGTACTAGATTCTTCGTTTGAGAATTATAGATGACTAAAAATAGTAGCTTTCAAAATTCAAATAATATCTCATCAAGCTATTCAATTTTTAAAGTATTCATATTTTTTTTTCTATTGTCTAGTGAACCATTACGATATTCTGTGCAGAGAAATAATAGCTAGCTAATTTTTAAGTTATGAAATTTGTTTTGAATGACGTAGAATTTCCTAAAAATTTTCTATCAGTACCCAAAATTGGATGTGTCAATGGAAATTCTTATTTCTGTACATTTCTACAGAGTACAACTCAACAAAGTCTAAAACATAATTAGGAACTTTATTGATCGAATACAAAAAAAAACAGATAAAACAGTAGTCAAATTTCTGACGCTTTAGTTAAAATAATTTGTTTTTCAATCAATAAATATCGCCTCTACGGAAAGAAGAGGAGCTATTTCGATTAGCTTATATGCTCGTTTAATTTCTTCACGTTACGAAAAAAAGACGAAAAGATAAATTGTTTGAGTTTTAAAATGCTACAGAAAATGAAACGAGAATTAAATAAATGTGGAAACTTCGGATTTCATCCGAGAGTTATGCTTACTGCAAAAAGTGCATGGGACATATGAGTCATTCTAGAATGTCTGAACACCAAAATTATCATGAGAAACTAGGCAATTTGATTTCTGGATGCAGTTTTTGTGCATTTTGAGACCTTTTTCAGGCGATGTTTTGTTAGAAAGCTACGATTTAGTTCAAAACTAATATCAGATTCAGAATCAGCGTTAAAAACTGAGTCGATTTATATATGTTGTGAATAATTCTGAGAAAAATTAATTTTTTGAAAACAAAATCCCTGTAGTCCTTCTCAGGGATGGTCTGATCAAAAATGACAATTTTTTCGATAACTCAACCATTTCTTGAGGGATTCTTCTCATCTTCGAACTCGACCGAGATAATCATGAGATTGCACTGTGTGGAAAATTTCATCATGATCTGAGTCTCCTTTCGAAAGTTATCGTGCCTACGGCCGGGCGGACACACTGGCCGATTCTAGAGTGTACTCACTTTTTGAGCACACAAAAATCATGAATGTAATCTTCCATGAAAATTGAAAAGTGTTAAAAGATCTTTGCGTATTCTATAATTGTTGGTGTTCTTTTTGATAATACGCCCATGTTGATCTACCTTACACAGTCATAATCTTCATTAAAATCGTGGATTTTTTAAAATTAACTAGATGAATGGAATCTAAGTCATATTCAGCATTTAAACTCGCCTGAATATTTGAGAAAATGTCCTCATGCAACATAGAAAACCGTGTACCTACTTTAGATTAGTAGTATTTCTCAGTTAAAAAAAAAACAGAATTAATGAGTTCGGTCACTAAATAAGCATTATATTATATCTACTAGGCAACGAGAATAACGTTTATATAATAGAAAAGAGAAGAAAAAGGATGACTCTTTAATTATTTTTGTCGAGACAATCTTTCGAATTCCATTGAAATTTTAAACGAAAAGAGAAAAATCTTCCTGACTTTTCAATATTCATAAATTATTTACCAGAAACCATTCTATTACCATGATGATATAATGGTTGTTAAATATTGAAAAATAATCGCTCATTTTGTCATTTATTCTCCGTATTTACAATGCATGAATTAAATGGTTTTTAAACTTAAAAGTATGTTCTCTTACACAATTATTATTTACGATAATTACTAACGTAAGCGCACCTTGATTTGAAAAAATATAAATACACAATCTAGGAAAAGTCTTCTCATGGAGACGGGTACATTTGTGTTACTAAAACTTTAACCTGAGCCATTCATACATAACCGTATTTTGAAGGGTAGATGAGTTGAAGATTGAAGATTGAATTTCTTATGTTCAGTACACTGACTGCAATGAATTAGTGTACTGTGTCAGTGTCTCTATCAAAACGTTTCTGAGCATAAAACTGCACGACACACGAAAATACCCTATTGATTTAAACTGGTGAATTGATATATTATCATGTAGAGAAATTTCAAAAATTTTAATAAATGTATACTGATACTTAAATCTAAGAGGAGAGAATCTAATTATAAGTTGGCATTAGTTATTATAATTTCTTTTGTGAAGTTTTTGCTTCATTCATTTGTCTATTTTTGAGCACCTCGATTACTATATTTAGCTATGATTAAATGGGAAAGCGACACGTCGTCTCACCCCTTTTTTCACGAACTCCGGTAAAATAATTTGTTTACGATCTCCTGACAAGAAAAAAAAAGACATGGCGTTCGGAACGAAGTTCGTAAATGAATTACAACAAAAATATAGGATTTTCACAATTGGTTCCGAACTTCATGTAAATTTTTTTCTTTGCAAACATCAAAATCTGGCTGGAAACCGCAATACAAAAAAGGCGACACGATTTTCTCGCGTATGTTCAGGTTTAAATTTCGCTGTGAGAAAATATGAAGTGATACGCTATAGTCGCAACCTAAAATCACGTAAAGTCAACGTTTCGGCGAATTCAAGCAACTACGATTGCACTTCTGTTTACTATAATAATTCTAGTATTAGTTATTATTCTCCCTATTCCTTGAACACTTTCTGTTGCAAGATACTAGCTTTATTGAAAGAAAATAAATACATACATATTCACGACTCTAGTGTTAATGTACATCATCATTCTATTTATTCCTCGATGAATGTACACGTTTTTTGAGCCTGACTATTTGTTTATTTTTCTATGTTGAAGCAATGAGATCAGATTGAGATGAAGACGAAGCAGCAGTACTATGATCGCTGGGTCTAACTCTATAAGACGATTCAATCTCGAAGTTGAACGTAAATAAGATTTAGGAGCAATTTGCTCAGTTATTGCTTTCGACAACTGTTGATTTTTAATCAACTTGTATCCTTAGAAGCAACTTTTAAGACTACAGCACAAGGAGTATAGGTAAGGAAAGAATAATCGCCTACTTATATAGCCATGTATGTAATTAAAATGCCACTTATTATTGTCTATAAGAGTAGAGAGTTTTTATATCAATTAAAATATCCTTATAAATTCGTTTACGGACTCCACATTTAAGTACCTTTAGAATTTCCTCCCGAACTACTGACGCTGTTTATTGCGATCTCCAGGTATTACATTAAATGTAGCAAAAATACTCTATTCCGAACATCCGCTAAACACATTACGATTTCCGATACACAGGCGTTTACGAACTCCCGTCATAAATTTTTACGAATAAAATTCATTTCCGAACATCCGGTAACATTTACCGGTGTTCGGAAGTGATGAGACGAAACGTAAGTCATCCGGTTAAATTTCCAAGTAGCTCGATCTTCGAATGTTCTTCGTCCTGAATAAGAAATAGAAATTGATGAGCTATTCTATTGAAGGGAAAACATTATAATTCGACAGTATAATTAGTTTCCTGATTCGTGTCCCAGGGAATCATAAAACTGTTGATTTGTATTTATGCGATGTGTGTGTTACATCAGTCTTTTGTGCATTTCTACCGTTCTATGATCACTTTAATATTGTCGTTGCAATGAACCTAAAAATGAATTTTTAGTCCAGCTCCCACAATCGTCAGGAATGAAATTTCATTTCCATAAAAGAACATAAATTTCTGGTGCACTATTCTATAAACAGTTGTGGTCGATTGCGCATGAATTAGCTGACGTTGCCAAAATATTGAAAATTTGATTTTATCTGAAATAATAATTAGAAATTATCTATTTTTTTAGACAAAAAAAAAAGAAAGATTCGTCTTATTTGATGTTTTGGTTTATATATAAAAATTGAAAGAATTATTTTCCAATAGATAAAATGCTAAAAACATTTATAATGTTGAGAAATAATCTTTGCAATCTCTACTTACTGATATAAGTATTGATGAAAACAGAATTAAATTTTTAAAATATCAGCATACGTTAGTTAATTAAAATCCTCTTTTTTTTGTATCAAAACAAGCATAAATTGTTGTTTATTTGTACTAGAGCATAATCATAAATAAAAGATCTTTGAAATCCTAAAGATATTATGCACCACTCTAAGTTCAGATAATAAAACGATTATAATAGAATAAATGAATATTTGAGAGCATATGAACCAAGATTAGCTGTGCACTGTATCAAGTAGTACTGAACAGAATTGCTCCATATAACTATGAACGACAAATTAAGACGCTGTAAAATTGTTAGTGTCGGTTAAGCTAATGGCGTTCTCGTAGGAAAGAAATATAAAATGGCATTGTTCTTCTGAGAAAATGAATAGTTCTAATACGCTGAAATGCGTAAGGTGTTCTGCGCATCTGTTTTCTTTAAATGACTCGTGGGCATTTTTTACTCTCATCCTGTTTCAGTAGTACTCGTATTTGTTTTTATTCAGGCAAAACTTATTGACCTAATAATATAAATTATAGTAACGTGAATGCCTGGGGAATTTATGATCGTGTTTCTTTCTTAAGTCAAATAAATAACTTATTCAGCAGGAAGATGTTAAGTAATTAATTGAAGCATACCTTGCACTTTTTACCGCATTTATTCAAGAAAAACTGGACACGATTGATCAAATTAAAGTAGAATTCAACTTTAATTATTTGTTTATCTTTTTGAAATATAAGAAGAGAACTTTGTTCTGTTGAATAATTTTTGGTATAGAAAAATGTAACTTACCGTAAAAAAACTGAGAGTTAATTCATTGGAAAAAATATGAAACAAAATTACATGCTTTGCTGTATTTGCTTTTGTTTTATACAATGTGAACTGAAAGCAACATAACGAATGTTGAATATTAAACAATTTATTGGTTCAACAAAAACAAATTACTTTGTTGCGTACTTACCTGGCGATAATGTTCCTGTTTATTTCATCCAAGTACAAACCAAAGTAAAGCTTGCACAATAAACACAGTTTCCAACATTGGTCTTTCCATTTGGCAGGAAACTGAACGAGTCGGAATTTATAGCGACTATCATAGCTGTCTAATTAATAAAGTGCTTCCCTTTATTGTGTACATATCTCAAACAATGAAACAAGAAAAGAGAAAATTCCACGATATGATTTCCGTCAGATTACTGTCCGTATTCCACGGTACACAATTAAAAAAATCTCAGCTTAAACTATGGAATATTTTACTTTTTATTTACAACGGAATTATAGCAGGCGTTTGTCTTTGCTTCCCGGAAATGACATATCAAGCAACTTACATTTCTGATATATAATCAAAATTTTGTAAGTTGAAAGTTTCTTAGCAATAAACGAGCAATTATGATGAATTGCTCTCTACGTCACAAATACTGGTTTACCTTCCTCCGTTTACTGTAAAAGTTAAAGCTAATTCTTTTTTAATCTGAAACGGAAAATTTCAACAATAGACTAACGAAGCATTTCTATGAGAAGATGTTTAGCTGATTTACTGCTTCGTATAGTATTAGCGCAAATACTTGGTATTGTATGAGAGACTCTATATATTAAAAAAAGAATTAATGGATGAAAATCTTTTTGCATATGTCCGATGCGTACATCAAGTATTGATAGACATTTCAGTATAGTATCTTTCAGACACGTATATAGAGAGAAATATAGTAATTATTTTAAAAGAATAGCTTTAAATGAAATCTTCTGCAATATAGAATTCTCATATTAAAAATCAAAACCGATTATGTCAAACTTAGCGTGGCGTGGGACTAAATTCTATATTTTATCAAATATATGCTTATTAAATTAGTTATGTCAGTCATCTTCTATCTAAATAGATATAATGTACTAAAACCAACTACGTATTGAATTCGATCTGTAATTGAGCTACTGTTTAAGCAGTGGGGATGTTTCACAGAGCGTAGAAATATTTAATTTTGATGTTAAATATAGGAACGTAGAGCTAAACAAGATTTTCTAAAAATTAACACGTTTCAATCTCTCTATCACTACGTGAATTCGTCTGAAAAACTTTTTATCCTGGATTGCTCCAAAAATAGAGTACGTGAGACATGATTGAGTGTTGTTTTACTAATGCTAAATTAAATAAAAACTCTTAAATGGTCGCCTTGTCGTTCATGATTTTTACGTTGAGTTAAAAGAATTACCTTCACGTGTCAATCAGAGTGAACAACGTACGGTTAGAAGATGAATCTTCAAATAGAGTTTAATTGGATTTAAATAGTCATTTATCATTATGAAAACCTCCACCTGCGATACACTCATTATAATTAGCTTGCAAACATGCATGGCAAAACCGTATAGAAAATACAATTGTATCATCAATAGAAACTCAAAAGAACAATGTTTTAGACTTGATCTTTTTATATCAGTAGACCAAATACTAATGTCTTGCTAAAAATATCGAATCGGTTTTTTAAACTATGCTGTCATTTGTCAAAGGCAGTGTCATATGAAGAAGAATTTCTTCTTTACAATTAAGACCCTAAAGAATCCGCAAAAAATTGTTGTCATCAGGGATGATGTAAAAGAAGAAAGATATTTTGTATCATTCAGCATCGCCATCTGTTTTTCTTCGTTGCTAGTTCTTCGCTCTTATTCGTTCTACCTAAATATGAGTCATGTGAATTACAACGGGTGTCTACAACATTCGTTTCTCGAATATTAATAATAATGGGTTGCTTGCAATCAACAGAATCTATGGATTTCGATACAATTCAACCAGTTGTATTACGAACTTCGGGAGGTATTGCAACATATAGCGGTACGACTGAACGAGGCCGATGTCAAGTTTGTTTAATTTCAATCTGTATTAATAGTTCTTTTTTCTTATCTTTATAGACACTTGGCGATGCAGAAATGGCATTGACTGAAGATTGTTTCTATTCTCAAGCAATCGGAACTGGTTGTTGTGGAGACCAAGGACTAATGAGAATTCCGATTTCAGCAGTCAAAGATATACGACAACAGTCATGTAAAATTTATACTATTTTTTTTAAAACGAAAAACGTTTTGTTTTGTAATTTTTAAAGATTTCAATGGACGTTATCGTGTTGATCATCCTCACTTGGTAATAACCTATACTACTACCGATACGAACGGCTCTCATGAGCATCAAGCCGGTTGGCAAATGAATGATATTGCATATAATCAGTGGAAAACTGCTATCGAACAATTAAAAGAACGGGATCCATCACCTCAACAAGCATAATTATTATTTTACGGACATAACAACTATTTGGTCTTATTGCTTATTCTTTCGCAATCACATGAACAAGTTTATTTGACGTCACAGAAGCATGCAGCGATTAAGTGTGGATCTTTTTTTATATTCGTTTGAACGCAATATATTAACAAAATAAAAAAAAAAGAGATAGTAACTTTTATTATTAATCAATAGGAGGAGATTGATTCAATAGTGTTTTTTTTTGTTTCGATTATTATTGCTAATAAATCATACTATGAAGAATGTAAAGCTGTTATAAGAAAAGTTTTACCACATAAAATGATAAACCAAGGGTTATTTTAGATGTTCTAATATTTCGATTTTCCTAATTATTATACTTCACCTAGATATTGAATATCTACTTTATTGATTATATACTCTTACGAAAACATTTTGACCTAAAAATGTCTTCAGATTAATTAGAAAAAAAAACAACACTTTAGATGTTGAACTGTGGCCTGTTGCTTTTTAATTTTATTTGAAGTAGTTTTTTTCTTAACTTCAAACACACCTTTCATTCTCTTCAGATGCATTATTGATTTTGTGTGAATCATACAGTTGACATAAAAATGTACTGGATTTTGTATATTTTTTGTTCTGCTGAATTTTTTTTTCTTACTCCAGATGTCTCTTGAGTGTATTGGTTATTTTTTAAGCTTATCTTTAATAATATAGATGTCTATAATAGATGTTTATAATCGCGAACTTCTATAAATAAATAAAATTAAAAAAACAAGTTCGCTGAACTTTTTTATTAGAAAGATAAGCTCAAAATAGATTTTACGAATAAGATTGATGCTCTCGATTTGTTTATTTTTCAATAGTTCTTCTACTGCAATGCTATTGTTTTGTTTTCCTTCTGTGTTTATATATGTGTAAATATTAAAGTTTTTTTTTCTTCTTTCTGTCTTACGCTCGATCGATTGTGAGGTAAATTTGGTGTAAGAAAGTCAATCAAATATATATATAGAATAAAAGACCATAAAAATGTCATACGAAAATAATAAAAAGAATGAAATATGACGTTCGAAGGATAATAATATCAATTCTTTTTTTTCAGATATCATCAATGAATGAGTCTGTTTTATATCGTTTAAAAAATCTAAACGATCACAATATAATATCAGTGTGCAAAAATCAATTCACCATTGGGCGTGCTACAAGTAAACCGATTATGTTTTTATTTGAATGACATCAATAGTAATGTTACGTTGTCGAAGTCGATGTTTTCAATAAATGACTACACCTTCGATTCTTCTTGTCTCATAATAGGGTTGCTAAGTGATTTAAGTCCGTAATTGAAATCGATTTTCGTTTTCTTCTCTTTCCTTACCGTGATATATTTACAAGCATTTGCATTAATGTATATGTAACTATTAATACTATTGAATGTTAACGAGTTACCTAACTATGAAAGGACAAGGTTATTCTTTTGGTCAAAGAACTAATTTTAAACTCTACGACGAAAGACAATCTACCTTAAAATATACAGAAGAATTCTATTAATTTCGTACAAATAAGTATCTCAAATAGAAAAGGTCTTGAAAATGAATTTGTTTTGGCTTACTTTTGTAACTTGTTCATTTGTTGAATAAGTCCTATTGTGAATGGAAAAATTAGTTGCGTGTTTTTTCTGCAGCTAATGATTTAGCGATGGCAAACAATAGATACATGTCATCGTGCCATTGCATAATTGAATTTAGTAATGGACATGTTTATATTCGTGACACAAGTTCAAACGGTACTTTAATTAATCGATCAAAAAAAATTAATAAAAATGATACGGTAAATATTCATCTATAAATACACGAGAAAAACTTATCCTTCATATTTAGCCTATGGAACTTCATACCGGTGATATTGTTCACCTTGTGTTTCGAAAAGACGAACCTGAATCAAGTAAGTTTAGCGAATATGAAAAATAATCGATGCTTGCAATGATTCATTTCTTATATTTAGATGCCATTTTTCAATTGGATTTACCTATTATTATTGAATCAAAGACTAAAACTGAAAAAACTTTGAAACGAAAACTTTCTGGTAAGAAACAACTGTCATTCGTGTCATGCTACTTGCAGTACACATAATGATTCACTATACAAGAGCGTATCCATTAGTGAGATCAAGTTTATCTATCAAGGACTCTTCTGGTAATAAACGTAGACACATGGCGTTGTTTTTAAACGATCGATATGATAAATACAGATCTTTTGAGTATACTTTTCCGCTGAGCATGATTTAACACGAGAGGAAAAAAACATCCGATTCAGACCGTATGAACCGACGAGTGTTTGTACTGATACTTTCTATCAAATTTTCTTGTTAAATCTATGCATTCTAATTAATTTAGATACTCTATCGATTTCGGCGAATGGTTCGTTTCTTTATAACTTGAAATATTGGTTTCCTATGATTTCATTTTATAGAGACAAAAGAAAATGTTGATCTATCAAATTTAATGAATAAAAGTTCCGATGTTGAAATGAAACCAACTAATTCAAATGATCTAATTACTATGAAAGCTGGCGATGATATGGAAGATATACTTACATGTGTTTGTTGTCAAGATATTATGACAAATCCGATTTGTCTCGAACCTTGTTTACATGCATTTTGTAGTGATTGTTATGCTTCATGGGAACCTGTTCAACGTACTTGGTAAGTACTAGTTTGAGATATTCAAAGGAAAGCAATCATAAGATCATGGGAGGTCTAACTACAATTTGAACTAAGAAACAACGATGCTTTGTAGCTATATTTAGTAATCACTGAACCAGCATCGTTCTTGATCTTGGCTACTGAAGCTAATAAAATCTAGGTGAATTTTCTATTCTGTATAGTCTGAGTTGTGTAATACATCACATTGAAATTGAGCAGAGATTATTGAACTATTAGCAGTCTGAAGATAACAACAGAAGACCGATAGACTATCAAAATAAAAAATAATGGCATTGGATCATTATCTTAATGGATATTGATGATCGGTTAATATTGTTCTTAACCAATTGCGTATGATTATTTGTCTCCCAATGACGTTTCAAAAGGTTGCAAACACCTGCCATCGTTGACATATGTCGACAAGTCTAATTAGACATAAATTTCGATGTTGACAAAATTTGATGGGCGTCTGAAATGGTTTTTTAATTTCTTTGAGAGAAAATTATAATTCTATTCTGCAAATAAAGATCTGTGAAACCGTAATATCTTTCGAAATCCTTATTTTTTTTTATTTTAGTCCAAAATGTCGTGTAAAGGTGACTGATAAAAAGAAGAATGTAGTTATTAATGGTATTTTAGAAGCATTTCTTAAAGCATATCCAAACAAACGCCCAACACTAAATCCTATTGGTAGTGCAAAAAATGCAATGAAAACGACAACTAGCACAAAGATTGAAGTTTGTTTTTGAAAAGAAAAAATCAATAAATTGGACATTGTAATCCGTGTTTAGGTTAATCAAAATACAGCGAGTCGTAACGATGATCAATCTAATGATGAAGTATTTAACAAATCGGAATTTTTTTCCAAGAGCAAATTCATTTGTGTTCTTTATTTTAGATGGATGATGAATCTGTGGATAATGATATGTAAGTTTTCATCTTATTTAAAACAAAATTAGGTATTTAATCTTGTTTGAATTACAGTTTTCTTGTACCGGCCACACCAATTTCTAATGTTCAATTCACATGTCGTCAATGTCCAACACCGCGTGTCTTCGGTAAATCTAGTTTTTTTTTATATCGATTTCGAATTCTAATTATTGTTCAGGCCGTACATCGAATATGAATACTGTTTTGAATGGGTTTCAATGTCGTCCTAATCAACGTCACATTCTTTGTCAATGCTGTACGAAGCCAATGCCTGATAGACAAGATGAGCCCAATATTCATCAAAGTTGTAAGTTGATATTTCGCTTTGTTCTTTTTTTTTGTTAGTGGTTATTTCTTTTGATCTAGGTGAAATCTGTCAGCAACATTTTTGTAACATTTATTTTCAAAAATGTCAACGAGCAGAGTGTCTCGGCTGTTTAAATCATTTAAAAGGTATTAATTAGTAATTTTGATTTTATGGAAAATTTATTCTGTGAATTATAGATTTTAATTTCAATCGTCAACATCTGACTAATATTATTAATAATAATCCTATTGAAACATTAATTATTCAAGTAAGTTCAGGCCGCCATTGTTGATTTAGTTCTATAAGAATATACTAATCAGGAAATGAAACGGACTATGAAAAATTGAAAGCCTTATTTCTCAAATTGCTTTCTCTGCTTACAATAGGAAAAGAGATCCACCGTCAACTCCATTGAATATTCTATTCTTTCAGACATGACATAGTAATTGGTTAATACATTGAAGACTTCATCGTTTTGTTTCCTAGCGTTTATTTATTAAGACCATTGTTGAGTAGAGCGCACGAATGACTAAAAGAGATGTTACTCATGCCATCAATATCGTTGAGTGGAATTCTACTGTAAAAGTACACGCACGACAACAGTCCTTCTGTTTCTCTTCCTGGAGAAAGATTCACTTCATATCTAATTGAACAAATACATTTAGAATTATCTGAAAGCTCATCGTGGAAGTAGCCATGATTTACTTGTTGAATGTTGTCAACGTCTTGATCGAAAAGAGTTTACTTGTACTGGTATTGATCGAAACATGGCTGGTTTGTTTTTTTTCCTTTGTTTTCAACGTCATTGATTTGTTCTTGTTCTTTCTAGTTCCATCAACAAAAGTTGTTTGCTATAAATGCGGTTTGAATATTTTCAGAGAACTAGCGTATCAATTTCGTGTCGCAATGAAGCCGACTGACATATTACCAATGACGTTGCGTAATCGTGAGGATTGTTTCTATGGTAAACATTGTCGCACGCAATACACGAAACCAGCTCATGCACAAAAGTTTAATCATGCCTGTGAACAAACTAAACATTAATCTCGGTGTTTTCGTTTTGCTTTGTATTATATGAGAAACAGAAAAAAAAGGAACTCTGAAATAGTAATTATTATTATATGTTATTTGTTTGTTTTATTTGTTAGAAGATGATAGTAGAATATGATTTGATAAATGAACTTGTTTATTTTATTTTATTACAGATGTCGATATTAACTTCAAATCTGGAAGTGCCAGTATTTTATCCGACATATGATGAATTCGAAAATTTTTCATCATATATATCTAAAATAGAATCACAAGGAGCACATAAAATTGGCCTAGCAAAAATTGTTCCGCCAAAACAATGGATACCACGAAAAATGGGCTACAAACAAAAGTCAATCGACGAAACGATGGTAGAAAATCCAATAAAACAAGAAGTTCATGGAAAAGATGGACTCTATTTAGTATATAATATTCAACAAAGATCAATTAAACTAAGTCAGTTTCAAAAATTGGCATCGTCGAGGCGTTATGTAACGCCACCGTCGATTTCAAATGATTTCGAAAAATTAGAAAAGAAATATTGGGAAAATTTACCTTCGATTGCACCAATTTATGGGGCTGGTAGGTTGATTTTAATTGGAATGAAAAGAAAATGTTTTTACATGGATATGATTATGTTATTCACGTATGTCTCGTTGAACAGTTAACTTAGGAGCGTATAGAATTGGGCGAAATTGTCTTGTCCCTCACAGTATGACTATGATTAGATCTCGGTGAGAGTTAGAAAAAAAAATCTAAATCAAAGAGTAGTATTACCGAATTATTTCTCTATGCAAAATTTTCAATAACAGTGAACACAACTTCCTTGCGATAACTCGAATTCTAACGTGTCAAAATTTGCATTAAGATGGCAATAAGTCTGTATTGGTATCCAACAGTTAAATAGACTTCCTCGTTATATCCGTAGAAAAGACGATTCTCTAGGGTTGTAGTTTATGCGGTAGCCGCTGTTTTCACAAAATTAAGACAATAGATTGTATACACATGAATCTTTATGAATAAATATAATGAAGCTTGCAAAAAAAGAAAAGAAGTTTTCTTATAAATACATTCTATGTGGTTCATTTAGATGTTAGCGGTTCGTTTTACGATAAAAGTCAAAAAGCCTGGAATATAAATAACTTGGGCAGTATACTAGACGATCTTGAAGTTGAATATGGCACTAAAATTGAAGGTGTTAATACAGCTTATTTATATTTTGGTATGTGGAAAGCAACATTTGCTTGGCATACTGAAGACATGGATTTATATTCAATCAACTATTTACATTTTGGAGCACCAAAACAATGGTAAAAATATTTAATTCAATAGAGAAGAAAACAAATTCTTATAAAAATGAAATACGAAATATTATTTAGGATAATGTAAAAGAAAGAATAAGCTGCTCGGGTGAGATTCGAATATGCATTATTTGAATTTCTATTATTTGCAGTTTATATCAACCTTATGTTTTTCTCTATTGTTACTTTAAGCACTCATATTAATAGATTAGAATAGAAACGTTGAATTTCTTTTTTTTTTATGTCTTCTAGGTATGTTATTCCACCATCATACGGTAAACTATTTGAAAAATTTGCTGCTTCACGTTTTCCGTCGTCAGCACGCCGTTGTCCAGCATTTCTTCGTCATAAAATGACAATTATCGCTCCATCTATATTAACTAAAAATTCGATACCATTTAGTAAGATGACGCAATATGAAAATGAATTTATAATAACATTTCCATACGCTTATCATGCCGGATTTAATTATGGTTTTAATTGTGCTGAATCAACAAATTTTGCATCAGAACGTTGGATTGAATATGGTAAACATAGTGTTCAATGTGCTTGCCGTCATGATATGGTTAAAATCGGTATGGATCGGTTTGTACGTAAATATCAACCAGAACTTTACGATGATTGGTCTTGTGGGACTAATGTAACGTCACATCCTGAAGATGAACAAATGTTAAAAAATAATACAACAATTGTTCGAAGTTCACCGACAAAAATAAGATTACCGATTCATTGCAAATCATCTAAAAGTAAGAAGAATATTTGTTTAGGGGAAAGGTTTTAGAAGAGATGAAGTTTATTTTTTAGAAAGTAAATGTAAATCCTACGATCGATACTGATAACCCGACTTCATTGTTTTCGCTTTCTCTGATCCCGTGTTGCAGCATTACATACTTTCATCTTGCATGAAGTAAATTGTCGAAAATAGCTGTTTTTAAGGCTTAAATAACATTCTAATTCATAACAGAATCAAATAGACACTTGAATGAAAAATTTCGTTTTCAAGCTCACGCAGAAATAGGATCTATAAATCTTATTAGGCATTAGCCTATTTAGTTATTTAACATTTACAGATATGTTTTTCATTGCGAATCGTATTTTTCAGGCGAGTATCTATTTATAATGAGAACGTTGCTCGAATTCCTCTCCGCCATTTGAGTTTATCTTGTACGACTTTGCAGAAAGGCAGAATGAAATTACCTTAAGTCTAAAAAGCTACGTCCTCATATGCATTAATGTCTCATTGGAAATCTATTCTCTTATTCGATAATCCAGCAAATACTTTCGCAATATTCTAAATGTTATTCAACTAACCTATAGCATTAGGAGCGAATTTCTTTTGAGAACGAGCTCATATATCGGTAATGTTCACAACTTTATTTTACATATGGACGTCAGGCGCTGCATGAAAATAATCCCATTTAATCATTGTGCTGGTAAAAACTAACTTAACTGCATGATTCCTTTCTTTTTAAAGCTCCTACTGACTCATCATTCATAACAAAGCAACCTCAATATGATCATCATCAACAAATATCGGACAAACGGTATACATGTATATTTCGTAGCTTAGCTAAATTCGATAAACTAAAACAATTATCATCATCCGAATATCCCGATGCACTTGTTCGAGCGGCACTTTGTCGAGCTCAGTTCAAATTGAATAGAAACCGAAAGAAAAATTCGACAAGACTATTGTGTTTAACTGCTAATTTAGCACTAAACTCACCTTCCTTACCACCAGCTCCAATACTTTTTAATGGTTTGAAACAGTCACATAAATATCGTGAGACTATTCTTAATGGTCTTTGGAATTATCAATCATCGAATATAAAATCCGAACAAGCATTTAATCAATGGTCATCTAGTTGTGCGATTTGTTGTCTTTTTAATGCAAATAAATTTCAAATTGAATCCATATCACAAATGCGGAATCTATTGATGTTAGATAAATTAAATAATAAGTCAAATATTTCAAATGATTTACTTAAATGTTCTACATGTTATGTTAGTGTGCATCGGGAATGTTATGAAATTGTATGCTTAGCATTAAATGTTCCAATTAAAATTGAATATAAGCAATGGCATTGCCAAAGATGTACTTTAAAAAGAGAGGTAATTAAAAAGTGATTTGTCTTACGCTTATCTCGAACTTCAGTCAATATTTATATAGAGAATAGAGGTTGTTCGAGATTTTCAGAATTGAGAAATCGAGTTGAAAATCTAAAATAGCTTAGAAAAAAACTATGTTACTTACCATAGAAATAATTCTGAAACTGATTTAAATCTAAAATATGTTTTTTCATTTTCTTTAGTCTTCGTGTAAAATGCTTGATGATCGTTGTTCAGCTTGTTTATTGCGTGGTGGTCTTCTTCTTAATCCTCATTCTTCGTCATCATTTATTCATGCTGTATGCTCAATATTTCAAGCATATGAACAACCGGCATTGTCACTGACTCAAATAAAATCCTGTTATTATTGTTGGTCATTTTGTCCATTAAATTATCGTCGTATATCCACGCATAGTTTTGTTTCGTGTAGTAATACAAAATGTAAAATTCAATTTCATGTGACCTGTGGCTTAATCAATGGATGTACATTTCAACTCGATCATGATTATTCAATAATAAATGCGTGCTGTCATATGCATGTAATGCATCATCAATCGTCGATAAGTATCAACAATCAACAATCATCAGCAGATAATATTGATTATGAAACAATAACGGAATGTCTTGACAATCTAATCGATGAACAGCAGCTACAACAACAACATACAGATGATGATAATGACGATGATGAAATAGTTGTTGAAAACCAACGAGTACCGATTGGTACACGAGTTATTTTGAATGATGTTAAAGAACAGAAAGTCGGTAGAATAATAGCGAATGAAATAAGTTTTCATTATGCTGTCGATTTTGGTGATGGAAGTTATAGTCGCGATATGTAAGTAATTATTAAGATTAATTTTAAAAACAAAAATTTTTGTTTATTAAGGCTTGCGGAAGATATTCTTGATTATGACCCATCGATTGAACCCACACAACTGGTTATTGGTTCAAATATTCGTATAAAATGGACTGATAGTAGAATATATTCATGTAAATATTTAGGTCGTAAACGTGTTCTTTTGTATCATATAAAATTTGACAATGAAACTCGACAGATGCGTCGAAGTGAATTTTCATATGACGTTCAACCACCATCGCCGCCGCTGACGCCAAGTCAAACTGAACGCGAACATAATTATAGTCGACGACAACCGTTAGCAACAAATAGAAAACGACAACATCAACGAAAACAATCGAAAAAAGTCAAAAGAAAACGTCGCTGTGTAGTCTTGTCTTCTTCGTCGTCCGATGAACTATAGACTATTGAACTGTTTTTCTCGTCTGTATAGGATCTTCAATATTTTGTTTTTGTTGTCTTATTGAATGCACACAAAAATATATTTATATATATATATCTCACATACCAACACTTATATTTCTATTTTTCTGTTTTTGTGCCGAGTTCCGGTGATATATATATATATATATACATATATATGTCACTGCAGTTTTGATTTTGTAGTTATTGTAACGTGTTTGTTTCGTTTTGTACCTTGTCATTTCTCTTTGTTTTTTAATTATCTAGAGGAAAAGAGAAATGAAAACAAAAACCTTTCTTTTTTCAAGTCTTGTTCTATAGACAAATAGATAATAGACACTTGATAGTTGTTGTTTAACATATGATGTTTATTACGTATAATGTGAATGCCAGCTGTGCCACAATGATTTATTTATGCTCGCCTATGATCGATCGGAAATGACCGAAGAATGAACAACTAACTAGTGCCTTTTGAACTTTTCTTCTCTTATAGCTACGTATATATCAGTATGATCATCAACAAGATAAGTATACTGTTCAAAATACAAGATTGCCTTTGATAGGAAGTTAATAAGACGATGAAATCCGATTGGGAAAGTTCAAACTAAAAGACGAATGAATAACCCGATAAACTCATTTTTTATGATAAAGGTCAAATTAATTTCCACGAAATTTCTTTTTTTCCTATTAGATATTCCATGCAGAATTCATACGTAACGATTTAGTAACTTGATTTGATCTCTATTCCCAATAGAATACTAAACGCGAAGATAATATTTTTTTTCCCAATGCTTCATTTGCTAATCGATCTACTGTCGTAATCTTTAAATGGGAAAACAAATGCTATTTAAATCTCATTATATTTCGCGTTCGTAGTGTGTAATCAAGAATCCATTATGAAATGGAAAAAGATAATTATGAAATAGAACGCATAGTTTGGTCATTTTACGTCTAGACTCTCGCATTGATCCTCTTTTTTTCCTGTTAGTACGAGAGAATTTAATTCTAGCCTTAAGTAATGTTACTTGAATTTCTATCAATTTAGAAGAAGAAAAAAAATTGGTAATTTATATACACACACATCTTCCGTTGAACGTCATGAATTGTCTATCCTTAAATTGAATTGATTCTCATGACAATGAAAGACAAACAGTATATTATGACAAAAGAAGCATTAGGGCATCAGCACGCCGCCATTATTCTGCGCGAACAAATGGTTCATTGATGTGATGCGATGTCTTGTGCTCATCGCGTGTACGTGTAGATAAGAGGCGGGCAGCTGACTGGTTTTTTTCACTGTCGACATGTGTCAGCTTATATATATATATATATAGATATAGGATGCTTGGACAGCATCAGTATCGTTCTCGATTAAATGATCACTAGACTTCCTTTTCGAAGCAAAATAATATTAATACATGTTGTTTTCTTTCCAACACGCAGATGGCACATTTCGCCTCTCGTCATCTATTTTGTCACCTAAACTTCATTTGAATGATTAAATTGAACACATAGTTTTGTTTGACACTTCAATTCATATGAATATTCGAATAAAACTAATCATTCGAAAAGGATTCATTTGAGTTGTTCTATTTTCTAATGCTGTGAAAATGATAAAGTGTGTGATGTGCAAATAAGCGCATAACGAACAACATCAATTCTATTGATCATACTATCGAGAGATAATAGAACTGAAATAAATTAATTGCTATCGAAAAATCTTTTAATAACAAAAATTGTTCGAGAATAACATTGATAATTATCAAGAAACGAGAAAAGAAAACAGTTTTCTCTCTCTTTCTCTCTCGCTTTGTTTTATTTTATATTTTTGATGCTTAATAAAAAATAACAAAATTCAAGGTTTTCAACATCACTCTCGTATCTAAGGTTGTTTGACTGTTAGAGCCAAGAAAAATTGATTTGAGCAAGCTCTTTTAGCTGTTGATTACATGTTGAATATAAGGTTTTTAATTTTTCTCGTGTATGCTCGGATATTGATGGATGATGTCGACCTTTCGATGAGCCTAGACATCCGTTGGGCTGTTTTATACAAGGAAAATTTCGTTTATGGGAATTAAAATAGAAATGTTCTTGTTGAATGTGATTTGATATATTTAAAAATTTTTGTACGGATTCAAGTTCTTGCCATGGACGTTGTATTAGATTTTCTCCGTCGACAAAATGTATTCGTTCCAATGGAAAATATTTGAGCCAACGACGTAGATATAGAGAATAACAACCAATTTTAATGGGTGTCCAACGTGTAAAATTGTTCATGGAAATAAATTCATCAAATGTTGGATAAGATTCATGTCGATTTTTAATTTGTACATAATCACTGATGGCGCGTATAATGGGATCTCGTAAAATTACGATCAATTTTACTTCAGGTAATAAGTGAGCTATACGCGCTGGAGTTTGTCTATCGATAAAATAATGTGGAGTTTTTTCTATAGTTAAATATTGATTATTTTTCGCTATTGGCATTTGATTTCTAAAAAATGCAACAAGCAAAAAAAAAGATTAATAATGATCTTATTTAATAAATGAAACTCATTAATCATTCGACAGCTTTTTTTCTCTTCTTCTTCTTCTTCTCAAGGTGTAACCGTTCAATTATACGATTATGATCATGGCATGTATATGCACGCATGATAAATGAGAAAACAGAAGCAACAACATCTATATACGAGACGTCATACTGTGATGATGATAAGATAAAGACAAGGAAGTGAAGCGAATGTTTCCTATTCGCATCGGCGCACCTTTTGCTTTCTGTTCTCTCTGATCAATTTCAATATTAACCTCCTGTTGTGAATAGTCAATAATAACTTACAGTAATGCTTTTGTTTTTTTTACTATAAACGATTCATTTAGACATCGGAGTCTATCATCAAAATCTAATCATATAATTGTCTAATGACCATAAAAGAATGAATATTTCTCTTCATCAAAATTCTACTAAACATCACTCAAGATAATAAATGACTCTTATTTATACAGCATACATTAACGTACCTTGAAGCGCATTCGAAATCTGCTCGTTAGACATGATGTCATCTTCATATGGGCTAGACTGAAAATTTGTTTTCTAGCTGAATGCTCCTCGTTTTCGTGTATATTGATCTTTTATTCTTTGTTCATTCTATTTTCCGATTGAATTCACTTTTTGGTTTTGTTTTTTTCAATTAAAATTTGCCGCCCACCTGATGCGATCAAAAAGGGCACATCTGCGTAATTTATTTTACATAAAACTCTTCGTTCGCGTGCCATATCAATTTTTATTCTTTTCATTTCATATAATAAACAGAACTAGCCTGTAGGGAAGTTTCGATTACACAGAATGAAACACGCAAGACAATCTTTATTCACGTTTATATATGGAAATAGTCTAAACGCACGAATCCCAATCCCACTAAAAAAATCGATTTTTATGCTAGGAATGTTACTGAATGATTTTACTCAAATAAATTATGAATGTTAGTAGTTGTGCATTGTCATTCTTGCTCTCTAATGATAGAGATCATTATACATGCTTGACTAGACTCGCACTAGTCTACTTATTCGTCCCATCCTTGCGCATGCGCATGTGTGCACTTGAAAGAATAGACGCGCTCGTCTGAACTCTTGAGACTATGACTTTAATCTATCTGTTGTTTCAACTAATAATCTATTGGGCAAGTTAAAAATGAAAAAGAAAAAGAAAAAGAAAGAAATCAGACTTAATTTACATACCGATACCAATCGAGGCCAAATTGAAAATTTTGTGGTGAATCAAAATAATGAATTTCAGTTGATGAAACAGCTGTAGCTGGATGTATAGAAAGAAATTTTAATAACGCTCGTGTGCCACACTTTTTCACACCAATTATAATTGCTTGTGGAAGACTTTTAGAAGTTGTTACTTCAGATGAAGATATAATTGTTGATATAATACAAACAATTGTTATTACTAAGATCATTCCATTACGTCAATAATTGAAATAGACAAGACAAGACAACACTTGACCGACATCCGAATGACTCGTTGACCAGCCACTAGTTAATTGATCTTCAACAAGACACAATGGTTACATACATAGATTGTGATCCTCTCTTTCTCCGGAAGAGAAGAACAAAAAAGACGAGAAGAGAGAGAGAGAGAGGGAAAAAAGAAAAGACTTGTTGCTCTCTCTCTCTCTCTTTTTGTGTGCCTCTCAATGAAGAGAGTTCATACGTTTTATTTGCTGTTGTACCCTATCGCACGCTATTCTTCTTCTCTATTCTACTATTGATTGAACGTGTGTTTGTATGGCAAGCGAGTGTCAAATACGAAACGGATCAAAGTACCCTTGATTTTGTCTCTGAACAAACAATGCATGCATTCAATGAGAAGATTTATAATCCCACCCATCGTCTTCATTTGCTCTAGGTGATGTTCATACGCGATATCATTATGAATACAATCGTTCGGTCGAATTCATCGAAACTATGCAAAAAATTGTTTCATTCATTTTGACGCATATATAACTTGATATATAACAAAAAGAAAAACAAAAGAAAATAATCATAATAAGTAGTCTAACAGATATCTATACATAAACGTATAATATATGTCAATATGATGCAACAAAATGTACGCAAGGGAGAATGAATGTTTATCAAAAATAGATATGTATGGGACCAATTAGCTTTGCATATGTGCAAGCATAGTAAAACAAGAATTGATGATAGGCACACGTGTTGTGCTTATTTGTTTATCGTTGCAGTTCATCAACTGAAACGAGCTCTGTTAACACTTTCTGTAATTATTTTACTTTAGGGTTACATATGACATTTATTTCAAGGATGATCAAATGATTATTGATATATATATATATATCGTTTGAAGAAAACAATGTTTATATAATCGATTTGTAAATTTGATATTATGATTGAAAACGAAACGAAGAAAAAAAATATATGTAGAATACATCGGATATGTAAGAATGCTTCTCACCGTCGTTAAATGAATTCTATTGTTTCTTTGATTTCCTTTTGATAATGAGAAGCAAAAGTAAATAGATGAAGTCAACGAAGGATCAATATCATATCCGATATACATTTTCAAAAAATAGACTCAAATATTTCGTTTTTTTTTTGTTTCAACCGTCTGTATTAAGAAAATTTAACGTTATAAAGTCAAAATGAAAATGGTCAGATAGTAATGTTGAGCAGCTGGATTAACCACAGGACATATGATATTCTATTGAATATAAAATATGTAGGAGTTGAATAGATGATGTCTAGAAGGGGAAACAAGATGAGTATCTAGGAAGAAAAGAAGAGAGGTGATGTAAGTTATTTCTTGTTGAGTGAGATGAGTTATGAAATAACGATATAAAGGTCAAGACCAAATCTACAAGAACATTGCTCTAAATAGATTTAATTGTACGATTGAAATTAAATAAAAATAAACAGAAGATTTTATTTGTTTTGCAAAAAAAACTATTTCCAACCCGAAAAATATAATCCTGCTAATTTACAATACGATAGAGGACGCTTGGTACCTTCTTCTTTGAAATAAGGACGCTGAGATGCATCTATGGCTCTGTAGAATATTGCATTATGATTAGTAATGTTTATTTATATGTTATTTGCATTCTATAATTTGTAAGTTGGCAACACTTTGCTTCTATTCTATTCGAATATAATTGATTGACGTCATATTTTTAATAGCGTTATGTCGCATGATTCTTTTCAAATAAACAGTGCTGGGGAATCTTCTACTATATGCTTATACTTTACAATAACAATCCAATAAATCGATTCTCTTGTGCTGTTCTGACTGTAAGCAATACGAAGCATAAGTATTTTTTTTATATAGAATAAAAACATGACCTTTTTATGTCCGTCAGCAATGGTTTATTTCCGTTTTTTTTTGTTCTGATGGGAAGATTTTTTGTCGCGCATTTCATGAATAAGATTATTGATACGGAGCCAACGAAAAAAATCTTTTCTCTTTCTCTCTTCGTTACTTTCTTTTTTTTTCTTTTTGTAAATGAAAACACTCAGAAGTGTTATGTCATTGTAATGAATCACCTTACTATATATTCTTCTGCTCGATTTTAGGTTTCTTTTTACATCGTAATATTTTTTTTTGTTGGCCTCGGAAGATGAAACGACGTATGAGACGATCTTTGAGAAAGCTTGAAAGAAAATTTAGTCAAGCAAAATCTTTCACTGCAAGTTTGGTACGTAGCAATAGTTCGTACCATTATTCTTACACGACTAGTTCACCAATGTCACCAGCGGTATATCAAATTTGTTTACAATTATTATATCTTGATTTTGAAGTTTTCTTTCTTTCTTTTTTTCTAGTATCCAGCAAATATATCTGACGATGATGATGATGATGATGATGATGAATCTGTATTCAGCCCAGCATTACCAATCGAGTAGGAGTTTTACATGAATAAAAGAAAAATGAGTGATTTTATTTATTTTGTTTTCGTTGTTAGATCGTCCATAGATGACGTTCGACGTTCACCAGTAACACTTATACCGTGTGAATTTTGTCAAATACAACAGCCCAGTCGGACTCTAACACGCCATGAGGTATATATATTTATATGTACAAGTTTTAGTTAGTTTTTATCATGAAATTTCATATTTGTTAATCCTTGTAGAAGACATATTGACTTAAGTTTCTTTTCTGATTGACGAAATTAAAAGAAAATATTGTTTTTTTATTTCGATTGATGTAAGAAGGATCATACGAATATTTTATATAGATATTTTTTGACATGAAAATTTACAATGTTATTATTTAGGGCGAAAGGATAAAAATCTAATTGAAAACTAAATTTTGAATACGAGCCATTAATTTCCATAAGATTAACATTTATATATTCTGCTTAAAATAATTCGTCAGTTTAAATTTCATCATTCCTGCACGTAAAGAAGACCTTGAAAGTCAAATTACCTGAAAAAAGTCTACTTATAGGGTTTCGATACAGTATCATCAGAGGTGTGTGTAATGTCGATATTAGATGAGTATTTTATGACACCAAGAATATTTTCAAAATTTCATAAAATATTTTTAGGTCTTAAGAAAAATCGTATGAGTCAAAATTCAATGTAGTTGCGTAAAAATATCGTCATTGATTAGACAAAACAATCTGGTAATAAATAGAACTATAGTCCCTGATGTCATTATGAGTCAAAGTAATATACATCCTTATTTCTTTTTCTTTCTTCCTATTTTTTTTTCTGCGTTGTGACGCATTTTCCAAATGCCCTATACTGTTGATATTTTCCTTTCACGAGAAGCGTGGGTGGTATCCAGTCTATGATTATTTAGTTTTAGATGTGGGCGAAATCTCTATTCAATCACACCTGTATGAGACAGAATGAAGCTAAATATTACAATCGTAATTCATAATTCTCTATTAAATTAATGCTTATGTTAATTGCTACTTATGCAGGGACTTCATTGTAATTTAAACTCTTTCAGACTTGCCAATTATCAAAATTGCTCTTAGGAGTTTCGGAATTTAATTCTCATTCGAAAGAAATAATTATTTGAGATTTTACGTAAGAGCAGAACAATTATTGTATTACACTACTAAATGACAAATAGTATTGTTTTTTAAATGCTATTCAAAGCTCTGACAAATAACGGTAACAATTATTTTATGTTTTAATCAATTACTAAAACATTTTCATTGTATTAGTCGTCATGTCCACAAAATCCAAGTTATTCTCGGGTACGATCTTCAGCCCGACGTCATACAAATGCTGGACGACATCGTCGTGCAGTTTCTGATTCGCTATCTCCACCGCCACCTAGTGCACCACCTCGTTCGCGTAGTTCGTCAATAACAGACGATATTTCTGGACCGGAACATCTTATATGTCCAATAACAGGTGCCATGTTCCGTGATCCCGTTGTTGCCAGCGATGGTCATACATATGAACGAAAGGCTATTATTCGTTGCCTTCAAAAAGAGAAAATAAGTCCAATTACACGTCAACCCATGTCCATCGACAAACTCAATCCTAATCGAATTGTAAAGCAAATGGTTGATGAGCGTCGTGCTGAATGGCGTAAAAAAAAATTGCTTTATAAATTTAAACTCGATATTGATCTAAAGAAAAGCGAAGAAATACCTATAAAAAAAACAAACACCAAATCCATTTATCGTGGAGAATGGATAAGAAAACCTTCCCCATCGATGAATCCAAATATATATTTGGTTCATTTAATTGGTGAGAATGCAGAAAAAATTTCAAATATGTGCTGCCGTATTAAACCACATTCGAATATTGTTGTAACATTCGGTAGAATTGAACATAATGATACTGGCGTTCTTCTTGCACAAGAATATCTAGCGGACGAAACACTTTCACAATTAATTAATAATTCTCCGGAGAAATTATCAATTAATGTTATGGACACAATAATTTATCAAATCGCATTGGCTCTTCAACATATTAATAAAAGTAAAACGATTTATGGAACGATTACAAGCGACGATATAATTATTTATAAGTTTCATGATACTGATCCAGAAGGTATTACAGTTAAACTAGCGAATACTGGGGATACAGGATCGGATGAATCATCGCGAGATGTTTGTTCTGAAAAATCGGATATATATGCATTTGGTGAATTTGCGCAAGCACTATACTCATCAAAATTAGAAATGAGTCGAGAATGTTTAAACGAACGAGAAGCTTTATTTCTACACTGTCTAGAAAATGATCCAAATGAACGACCTACATTCGATGAATTGATCGAATTTATCAGCAAATTTACCGACGAAGACAAAGCGAAATCGTTTTAAGAAATTTTGTTAATCTTTGTTTGACTAAAAAGGTATGATTTTTTTCTGCACTATGAAACCACTAGATTATCAAGTATATGCGTTATTCAAGAAGTAAATTTGGATTGAATTTCTAATAAGTTATTTCACTATACATTCGCAATGGACTATTAAAGAAAAAAATCATACTCATATTTATTGTTTTCTTTTGTTTTGTTTTACTAATGTACGTGTTCGTGAGAATGACTTGTGTCGTTTGATATCAATATTCATAAAAAACAAAGAAAATAATTCAATATTGTTTTTATTTTTTTTTAATATTAAATAAAAATACAGAAAAATTTGATTTTCAACGTATTGAAATGGATATATTTATTATAGATTAGTGTATTAAAATGAAATAAATACATCTACTAGAAGATTGAATGATCCTTTTCTTCTTGAGATAAGTAACAAGGTATGATCCGTGTCAAAATTGACATGTTTATAAGGGGTAATAATACGTAGAGAAAATGTTACATAATTATTAGTAGTAAAGAAAGATATCGTTTCAAGTTGATCATCTCGTAATAGTTATTCTCATTAATTTTAAGTCAATTTCTAATTTGTGTATTAATCATAAATGAATATTCGATATGAATAATTCATCATTTGCATATCAGCGTCAACATTCTATGATATAATATTTGGTGTAAATCGTTTTTTAAATATTTGTTTTGGAAAAAATCTAATAAAAACCTCAATTGAAGAATGAATTTGCTTGACGATGGTAGTCAAATGGTTATATTTGTGTCTATTGTATTTTAATATTGGCAAATATTTTCGCTTCATCACAAGATTTCAAGGTTTTTATTGATACTGATGATACATCATAAATCGGGATAAAAACATGATTTTCATGATATGCACTAACTACATTTGTAAATTCTTCGTTATCAAAAGTGTAGTAAAATATTTTCATTTCAAAGTACCATAAAAACTAATCCGTACGAAAGGTCATTGTAGCATAAAATTCAAGTATATTTTGCAATGCTGTTTTTATCATCGTTATTTTTTTTTTATAAAGGTAGAGCATCCACAATAAATTACTAAGAAACTTTTAAAGACTATTTTTTTTTGATCTATTTTTTAAAGGTAAAAAAAGACAAAGAAGAGTGAATAGGTTAATTAATAAAATAAAAATTTTTTAAATGTCTATGTGTTAATTCTCGATATCGAAATAACCTTGAATTGCCCAATGCTTCGATGGGAAAAGAATATCTGATGTTTTAATACGTTGAATGCCCTCTAATTCCATGTGAACAGGTTTCAATTGATTATTCATCGATGTTGGCGATCGAAAGAAAATTCGATCATAACGTTGAGGTCCGTGTTTTTCAGTGATATTCGAATTTAATTCAGGATCAAATGTATATGTTGCTTCAGGTCGTTGGTCCGTTTTTTCCCACAAGTCATTGAGATTAATTGCTTTAGAATCCCAACAAGTATCTGAAATCTATTCATTCATATTTAGATCAATAGAAAATAATGATCAATATATTCAAACTAACTTGACTACTTATACCGAATAGGACAATATGATTTGGATTGTTCTGATTAATTTGTTCGAAACAAAATGAATATGTATTTTCATCAATAAAAGCATTGAATAAGTCCATACGAATTGAATTTTTATATTCAATCTATAGAAAAAGCGAAGTCTTTCTTATTTCAAACATAAGCCGTGGGATTTTTACTTCAACTTTAAGCATTTTCCAATTTTCTGAATTTTGAATAGTTGATACATTTTTCTTTTCTACATTTGACTTGAGTGTAAAAATCGATACATAATTCGTATTCGTCGGTGAATCTAAAACAAAACGGAAAAGAAATTGTCAATAAAAATTCGATAATTTATTTTTCTACCAATTTGAATTGATTCATCATCATATAACGATGAAAGAGATGTTATGATTAATGTTAAAGCAATCGTTCCAACTTGTTGTAAAAGAATTATATCCGGCTTTTCTCTAATAAGGAAAATTTAAACGTCTTAAAAAAATGAATTTTTTTATCTACCGAAGTAAAATTTCAATCATCGTTTCTGTTCGTTGTTCGATTAAATCATTGATTTCAACTTCATCACTATCTGTTGTGTCGGTATTCCACGAGAGAATTTTAAAATATTCTCCTTTTGAATCTTTCCAATCTTGTCTAGGAAAGAAAATGTTCTTGATTTAATCGATAGAATTTTGTTTTTACTTGGTAGCCATGATTGATTTGATATGTTCTTTAGCTTCATAGGTCGCTTTTAAAGCTAGATCAATATTCCATTCATGATCTTTAAGTAATTGAACAGCGAATTCAATTTCAATGCCAGTTGCTTTAGCAAATGCTGCACTAAGTTTTGAAGCGATATCGGGATTAAACGGACATTCATTTGATGAATCACTGTCAAATTCATTCTCGTCGTTTCCCTGATTATCATCGATTATTTGATAATCATCTGACGGAGCCGTGGTCATCTTTCTTCTTTATGATAAATTGAATTGAATGAATGAAGTAGACAACAGAAAATCATTCTATTTATTTATTTTTATTCTTTCTTTGTTTAATGTCATAGAATCTAAGAGGTCACTAGTAATAAGACGTATATTATATTTATTATCGAGAAGAAGATATGGTTGGTTGCACGCAAGAAAAGATTACATTCTCTTTTTTACATGATCAACATTATCTATGGTTTGTTGAATGAGAGGATGTGATTCAGGAAACGATTTTTGTCGTATAGCAAGTGCCTTTTCTAAATATGAAAGTGCTGTCGAGTAGTGACCCTGTTCAAAAGATGCCAGGCCAATATTATTATAGGAAATTGACAATAGAGGATGATCGAGAGGCAGGGTGCTTTCGTAAATAGTCAATGCTTTTTCGTAGAATCCAAGTGCTTTCGAATAGTCACCAATGTTGTTATACAGTAGACCGATGTTATTGTAAGAACCAGGCAAATCAGGATGATTTGGAGGCAAAGCCTTTTCTCGTATTCTAAGTGCTTTTTTGTGATATTGAAGTGCTTTCGAGTATTCACTCATGCTGTCATACAGTAGACCAATGTTATTATAGGAAGTAGCCAAATCGGGATGATACGAATGCAAAGTATGTTCGAGGATTTTATGTGCTTTATCGTAAAATTCAAGTGCTTTCAAATAGTCACCCATGCTGTTATACATTGCGCCAATATTATTGTATGACTTAGCCAGATGATGATGATAAGGATCGAGTGTTTTTTCGAGGATTCTATGTGCTTTATGGTAGAATTCTAATGCTTTAGCGTAATCGCCCATATTATTATACATTCCACCGATGTTGTAGTAGGCAGCAACCAATGAAGGGTCATCTTTCGGAATCGTATTCTGATAGATTTTTATGGATTCTTCGTTAAATACCATTGCTTCTTTATGATGTCCTTGATGCCATTTCATCGAACCAAGCTGTTCATAGAAAACGGCTCGTTCGCAATCGTTGAACTTTTGTTCGATTAGTGCCATATAAAGTTCTTCAACTTTGTCGAACTGACCCATTTTCATCAGTAGTAGCCCCAATAGATGCCAGTTTGTCGCATCTGAAACGTCATCTCGTATATGTTTTATAAACTCACGAAGTTGTTTATTATCATTTGCAGTAAGTTTAAGTTCGATTTGATAAAGTGGACGTGTATTATCAAGTTTTCGAATGTTACCAATGCGAAAAATAGTAGGCATCGAGAAGAGAATTTCAGATTCTTTTTTAAAATAACTTCTCGTTGGGATGGAAGCAAACGGAGTCGATGACACAGTAGGATCGATAGACATTTGAAATAAAATGCCGATCATATCATGTTTGACTAAGGCATCCTCGGCGAAACCAAGAGCAAAATTGCGTTTGGTACTGACTGATAGAAAATTATTAAAGGATATTAGTCCGCCTATGTTTCTGCTGAGTTTAATGAAGTTGGCTGTCGACAATCCTTGTCCTCGATATACTCGAAAGATTTTTCCATGATATTGATGAATCTGTTTTTTGTGTAAATTATCGATTTGTTGGTGTATATCACAAACGAAAAAGCCGATTCGAACGATAAGATTACCATCAAATGTTCTTAATGCTCGATTAAGCATCTTGGAAATGAAGCATTCACGTGTATACCACCATATGGCATCTGAGACATGATAAGTGCGTTCGAATTCATCAATAATCTTCAATTCTTGAATATTACTTTGGTATTCTTCTTTACAATAGTTTATCAAATCTTTCACAGCTTGTTGATCATGTTTCATTTCGAGAAGAGTTTCTTTGAGCATTTGTGAATAAATAAATTTAGAATCTAATTGATTGAGATTTTGCATAGAAACGTCTTCGTTCATACCAATAATGCTTACAGATATATTATCTTGATTGCATTGCATGACATCCAACTGTAATGCTTTGCATATCGGTTTGATCGCTGTATGAATGCCTTTTATTTTCATCCATTTCTTCGCCCATGCTTTATGCCTCTGCTTATCGCCACAAAATATGTACACAGCAGCCAATGTCGGCATGCTATAAATTTCTGATACTAACTGTTGTCCTAAAGCACCGGATGTGATGATGAATACTGTTTCCTCTTTGTTTTCATTCAGCCATTCAATGCATTCCCCAAGCGTAGTATACGGATTGACTTGATTTACTATACCGCGCAAGTTTGCGATTGTATTTTGACAATCCGAATTATTTAAATCAATATTTCTATCAGCCCATATGACCACACAGTTTTCTATTCTGGAACATCTGAGTCGTGTGGTAGCTAATGATGTTGTTGTCTTTGCATTTACACTAGCTTTCGATTTGGAAGTTGTATTTTTAGATTGTTGTCCACTACATTCTTGAATCAATGCTTTGCTTGTCATCAATGTTTGACTCTAAAGAATTGTAGATTGTGCTTTTTGAATCGAACGCCTTTTCTATTTTTCTTAGTTGTTTACGACGGCAAAAGGTATATAATTTTTATTCTTTACGACTCAAAATAGATCCCAACTAGTTTCAACGGAAAACACTATTGTGAGTAAGAAAATAAAAACAGCAATGCCATCAATTGAATTGTTACCTTTTCTAACTTTCATTCGTTTTTCACCTGGAGAATCACTTAACTGAGTTCGTATTGGGTAGTTTGTCAACTTTATTGTTAATTTTTTCTTTCAAGTAAAAATGGGAAGAAAACGGAAGAGCGATCGGCAGTCTTTGTTTTTTGGTTATTACAATTGTGAGCGGAACCATGATAACATAAACGGAAAAACCATAAAACTACTAAATCATAAAAGATGGGAATTTCGTAGTTAACTAGTTTCAGAGAATGAAAATAGCCCACTTCTTTATTAAATCGATTTCTATTGAAATTATCAAAGCAAAAATCTCCAGTCACATTTGTTTGGCGCGTCTCATTCATTCTTATCTTTCACATCCGACAGTAGTATATTAAAACCTATTCAGTTTGTCTGCGTTATCAAATGAATATGACTATCTTTATAGAAACAATAATTCTTCCGTTACTCATCTTTCAATTTTCGATTATAAAAGGTAAATGAAATCGAATTGAAATCAAGTTTCTTTTATTGTTTATAGAAATTTTAAAATTAGCATCTAATTATGGTGGATTCTGTTACAGCGATAGTGATTGTGATCAACATCAAAAATGTTCAAGTACAGTTTGTCAGTGTAATTTGGATGAAAGACGTTTTTGGACAGGTTAATAAAGCAAATAGGAATATTTATTTTGAAATAAATCTTCTATAGGAAGAATGTGTGCGATATGCGCAACAGGATATACTGTCACAAGTAAATATATTACCCTCGAAAAAACATTTACAATATACATTTTCTTGTAAGTATGAATAGATGATCGATGTTATAAACTTTTTAATGAACTAAAAACATGGGAAGCATCTCGAGTGCATTGTCGCGCTCAATATGCCGATTTATTCTCATGGCGTGATAATCATGATGAAAAATTTATTCGACCTGCTGTACAAAATTGGGTGGTTACACCTGCTTTTTTAAATTTATGGCCTTTTTTATCATATCAAAAGCCGAATCAACCCTATATTGCATGGTCTGGTGCTATTATAACCTCGGTAAATCGTAAGTTAAAGTTTCGCGGTTATAATGATTAGTAAATGTTACGAGAAATCTATTTATAGCACATAAAATTCAATGGGCAGATCCAGCTGGTATCACATTAGATTCGTATAGTAAAGAATGGTGTGATCCAACAAAAGATGCTGGTTATTTATTAAGAAAAGAACCAACTTCAGAAAGTAGAAAAGGTAGAATAGTATAGCATGATCATTGATACAAGTAGTACGGCTAAGATTTCGACAAGTGTGAATGCAAAATCAATAGGAGACTCATTTGTTTTCGTCGTTGGGGATTCGGAAAATATTTCTAGAAGATCGAAGTGGTTACCGATCAATTTCCTCTAAAAATTCGCCACTAGCTTATCGTTTAAGGTGCAAATGGTACAGAGCATGAACAATGTATTGCATACAATTTTGGTGCTAAAGGTACCAGTTTCCTCTGCTTATCAGATGATTACTGTAATCAAAAATATCCATTTATATGCGAAATGAATACTGCTAGTATGGCGTTGGCTACAGCTACCCATCATGGTATGTCAGGAAAATATATTAAGTAAATAATTCGTTTATGAGTGTTTCTTTTTTTTTAAATTTAGGCAGCAATGCTATCCTTTCGCCGGGGGACGATGGGAACCCTTTATCTGAAACTGAAAATGGTATTATCGATTTTGAAGAACCACCAACTCCTCCACCAGAAAATCTTGAATTTAATGGTCAAGACATTGATTCCGTAGCAGGAGCTGTACGGTACCAAACATAGTTCTTTTTATAGGAAAAAATGACACTATTTTTAGCTTAAAGAAAATACTGGATTTCAATCGAAGACAAATATAATGATATTTGCTGGTGTAGGAGCAGTTCTTCTTGTTGGAGCCATTGCTGGTTTTGTAGTTCTAAAAAAAAAACGATCAAGTGCAAATAATACTACGGGTAGACATACAAGTGCATCTCAAAGTAGACCAAGTTTTGCTAGTTCCATTGGAAGCATGGTGGATGAATAGACGGAGAAGAAGAAGAAAGAACGAACTCGGTTTATTATTATTATTTGTTCAGTTGAGTTTTAAAACTTAGTTTATCGAATTTTAGAATTTTTCCATATTCGTATGTTAGCATATTATGTAAAACATTTAAAGAAAGTCTTATCCAACTGTTTATTTTAAGAAAGAAAAATCAATTAAAATTCATATGTTTAAAAAAATCTATCTATACTTGTTTTACTACAAAAAAAAAACTACTTAAGAAATCTATATAAAACGATTGTCTAAATCAGTTTTTCTATAAACAAGTTATCATTAGAGGTTGAATGAAGAGCATAACGTTGTGTTGCACCACATAAATGTAATAATTGACTAAAAACAAGTGGTAAACAATAATTATCATTAAGTGAGTCGAGTAAATCATCAGCATTGACCTGCTGCACCGAATCATGTTGATTCATATAGGACACTATTAATGAACGAAGTTCAAGAAATATTTTATTATGCTGTTGTTCTTCATTCGAATGTTGAGTAGCTGCATCAAGCATTTGTTCCATGTCAGTTTGAAGACGAATATCAACGTCTTCTTGAATATCTTCATTAATATCATAAGTAAATGAAGGCGTAGGTGATAATGGTAATGGCATTAATGCATCGTCATTAAGGACGTCGCTTAAAGGTATAGGAGGCGAACGAATAGTTCGAGAAAATGATGCATCAATTTTTATTGAATATCGTTCTCGTATTGTTACATGTTGAATAGTTATTGTTGGAGGAATAAAAATAGATACAACCGATGTTGGACAATCTAAAAAAAGAAAAGATTTAAATATTACCAAAGGTTGAGCCTAGAAAAATCGTTTTTGCATGCTCTCATCTTTTATAGATGTTTACAAAAAGTCAACTGCTTTTTATTCTAATAGAGAGTTTATTTCTTATATTAACTATAGCTCTTATATTTTAAATTCATTTGTACCCTAGCTGTTATAAATAATGAAAACAAAACTTTTATTCTACTAACCTTTAATTAATTTATCAAAATGATTTCGATTAAATTTTTTAATAAAAAAATCTTTTTGTTCAATTTTAATTCTATTTGATATTGGTCTCATTTTATGAAAACAAAAGCGTTCTTGCTGTTCATCTGTAAGACCAGTACGAAATATATTCAGGTCGATATCAAGTTTAACTTTTTTGCTTCGACTTCTATTGGATTTCGTTTTTCCAATAAGTTTTTCATGTTCAATAATCGATGATGATTCTTCATCATCATATGCAGGTATTGGTAATGGAATATCGTTATCATCGAATGTTGATGGTTGCTGTTGTTTAATTGGTGAGAGTTTATTAAGTACATCTATTAATTGTTCAGGCTGTTGATAGTCTTCTTCGAAGTCCACGAATTGCTCGTGAAAAAGAAGATCGAATATGATCGGTTGATGATCATTCATCCAAAATTGTTGATTTCCTATTGGTACATGTTTTTGAAAAAGTTGAAGTTCAACTAAAGATGTTCGATCGAGAAAAAAGTTTTTCGATGGATTTAAATTTATTTTCGATAAATCGTGACAAATAAATGAATGATTGTGTGCTTTGGTTCGTTTTTTTTTCTCGGGAACAATTTTTTTCGGCTGATTTTCTTCTGGTTTATTATCCATAATAATCGATTCTGATTCTTGATCTTCATCCGATATATTTTCATCGTGTATTTTGTTTTGTGATGATGATGATGATGATTGAAATGTATTAATCAATTGATAGAGGGCATCCACACGACGAGAATAGATGCATGTTGAAGCTGTTATTAATTGTGCTATATTTAAAAATTTACGATTTTCACCATCTTCGAAACGATCAACATCATTACTAACATCGATCAGCTGATCTAATATTGAGAATTCATCGAAAGCATTCGATGTTGTTATGGTACTTGGCCGTTGGATTAAAGATTCAATAGTTAATCGAGCATGAGATAAAAGTGCTGATGGTTCAAGTTGACTACTTGATAACGATAACATTTTAGTTTTGAAAAGATAAAAGAATAAATCTAGACACGTAGTGACGAACGGCACATGGTCATAAATATATAGATTGGGAAGAAAGGAAAGAAACGATCGTTCTTTCGTTGATTAGCTAGATATCTCGGCAACAAATATTTTATTATATAGTCTTTTGAATGAATTTAGCGCATTTCTTTCAGTTATTATCCTGAATTTGAGTTAGATTGTATTTAGTCTATGTTGCGCTCTCATTTTGAGTTCGTCTATGTTCTTCACTTTGTCTTCATATCTTTGATATCATCAGGTTAGGAAAAAAAATCCATTCGTAACTATCTCCTAGTGTAATATTCTAGCATCGTTTAATAGTTTCTGTTCGGATGATTTATCTTGTGATTATCCTTTAATTTGTTCTAATACAAGTCAATGTACATGTCCACGATTGTCTTCTCAGACATTTTGGAATACGGAACAAAATACGTGCCTTGCTTGTCCAAAAGGATGGATTGAATGGCAAAATGAAACATGTCTTCTATTTATAAAACATTCAGAAAATGGCATCATACACGAGAAGGCTAAAGATGCGTGTCTATCATATTCAGCACAATTACTACAAATTAATTATTATCAAGAATATGTAAAATTTCAATATAAAATAAACGAATTATTGAAAGGTCAACATGCTAATGAACTGAGTGAATATTTAACGAATGGTGTTTGGATTAATTTTACAGATACAGATTGGCTGAATTCATATGAATGGTGTGATAACGACTATAAAAATGATTCAATTCCACGGAATGATTGCATTCGTTTATCGAAACACTTTTCAAAAGATAAAATTAATATCACACTTTGTTTAAGTTATATTCAATGTAATGAAGCATTATCTTATATTTGTGAAAGTGAGACATTCGCTATGAATGCTATCTAGAATTTTATTAATATATTATTCATATGGAATAGTTGCTATTTTTTACAGAATCACCAAGTATTCTAAATGATGATACTAGATTCTTCTCGTTAATTGCTGGTGCTGTTGAAAATCTATTTTTTCCTGCACGTAAGACTTGGTTTAGTGATGAAGGCATGTACCGTTTAGTTTTAAATTTTTAGCAAAGCCAATACCGACGCAACCACCACCACCGCCGCCACCACTCATTATCTGTAAAGATAGAGTTGAAGATGAGGTGATCAATATATTTTTCTTCGTATTGTAGATCACACCAAACCTCCACGAGAAGAAGAACACCCTTTAAAACGTACGTTATTATATTTGATTTCATTCTAGATTTATTGTATTATGGGGTGTGCTTCAGAAACTTCAAAATCGAATAATACAACACTCTATATTGGCAGTAAGTTTGATTTCTTGCTCAGGAAACTATTAAAATTAACTTTGTGGATTAGTTGCTGTCGGTGCTGTTCTGCTTATTTTGATGGTAATATGCTGCTGTTGTTTTTGTGGTGGTTTTCTTCTCTGGAAAAGCAACGATACTCCAAAAGCATCATCACAAATATCTCGTTTTCGTCGACGTCGTGATCGAACTAGTGTCGATTCAGCTGCGAGCGATGTCACGTATTAATCAAAATGTTACATCAACTTGTCATGTAATACAGTTTCTACACTCGAAAAGACATGATCTAGTTAAATGCAAAATCGAACATCTCCATGACACCACCGATATTCCATTCAACATTGATTGATGTGAGATCACTTGGTACATTTATATTCTTTTTCTATCAAATGCTTTCTCATGTTTCACCTGATTATATCGTTTTGTGGACTTTTAAGTGAAATATATATATATATATATATGTAACTACCTGGACCTATTCGGTAGAGAAGTGATTGTGAAAAACTGTCACATTCCATTATACTCAATAATGACTTTTTTTTAAAAGACAACGTTATTGATTAAACATGTTCTCCTAAGTAAAAATGACAAAGTTATTTCTTTTTATTCGAGTAATGAACTAAAATATATTAAATTGACACAAGCCCTTCTCATGGCGATCGAGGAGGCAAGTTTCACGCAATGGTTTAGACTTAAATGTAAGCCTATCAGAATCACTAGTCGAACCTGTAAAAGTAAACTTGTTTCAACATTTCCATATGATCGACAGTTTTCTTTCATTGACGATGCTGTCCTAATTGAACAACATGAGAATATATATGCGCTTTAAACAAGTACGATTACACATGAATTGACATTTCTATATGAAAATAGAGCATTCATTAATTGAATTCATTGATTTACCTGATGAAATACTTATGCTAATTTTTAAGACGTTAAACAATGTTGATGTACTCTATTCTCTAGTGAATATCAATAAAAAACTTACTCAATGTACGCGTGGTCCAATATTTACTAATTATTTGACATTACTCAGATGTTCGTCATATAGTCTAATCTATCCATTAGAGAATGCAGTACTAGATCGATTCTGTTCGGAAATCTTACCAGAAATTCATGATGATGTTAAATAGCTTGACCTTGAACCGTTGTATATGAAACGTATTCTTCTTGTTGCTAATTATCCTAATTTGCATGAACTTGGTTTGTACAATATTGAAAAAAGAGTCGAAATATGAGAAAAATCAGTTGCTTGTTAAGCTCTTCCTATTCTAAATCGGAACTTGATAGATATTTTCTAACAAAAAATACTTTGTTTCACTCATAGTTGAATGAAACATGATTTAGGATAAAATTGGCACAAGAGAAACAGAAAGTCATAAGCGAATATTTGCTTTGCTACGAAAACTATTTAAAAGGAGGAAAAGTTAGATTAAAGCTGGTTAAAGGATTCTGTCTACGTATATATACATCGTTCCCGATGAAATTTGAATGCTTCTTGGCAAAGGTCGATTTTTGAATAGGCTTAATACCATTTTTTGACATATGTTTAGATGAAAATGCATTAGCTCATATCAACAACAAAAAATTTCAAAATTAGCTATTACACTTCTTACTAGTTTTATCAATTTACAATATCTAAATTTCCTCTCATCTTCAACTGAATATATTCATTTATCATTCGATGGGAAGCCTCCAAATATCCTATCCTCATTATTGCCATTAATTTGGGAAATTTTGACGATTGTCTTTATCTGCTCGATGGACATTTCAACCAACTTCGCGTATTAACTGTTGTAATTGCGTCGATTACTTATTCATCAGTAGTAATCAATAATAGTGCAAGTTACTTGATAAAAAGAAAGACATGATAACTATGAGAAAACTAAACATTTAATTTGTGGGATAAGTCGTTAAAATATTTTATTTTAATATTTATAATATATTATTTGTTCTTTTTAGGAAAAGCTCCCTAGTTTAACGTCGTTTTCTCTAGCATGTCATACGGAAAACTTTCGCTATCACAAATTAATTGTGCCACTTTTGGATCGAATGTTAAATCTCGAGGAACTTAGTTTATATCTTGAACTGAATAGTTATAAAACATTTACTGATGGAAATATTTTAAAAACAATATCGAACTGTAAATGGCGATTTTCAACATTGCTCAGTTGCCAAATATCCTCGTCTTCTTAAACTTGGTCTTCTTTGTGTTAATATGGATTATATCACGCAATTTTTTGATCACAGAAAAATGTATACATCGAATAATATTTCAGTACACGTCGAGTATCGTCCACTGCGAAAAGCGACACACAATTTTACACTAGATCAATTACGAGCGAATTGTTCGAAAATCAATGAAATACAAATTTTGCGTTTACGCAAAATTTTTAAACAATTTAAAACATTCTTCCCTAATGTAAAAAAGCTGTAACTTGTGTAGTATGCATTGGAGTAAACTAACTAAGAAGATAATTAATATTTCATAGTTGACATATCAAATAAAACAGAAGATAACTAAATCGATAGAGAATCGAGTCCTAAAACCGTTGATAATACTGAACAATTCCAATTAAACGATAACTGATATAAAATTTTATTCATTATTAAATTATTGTTAAATGTAAGCTGTGACCAATTATGTATTAATTAAATTTTTACGCCATGCAAAGGTTATTGAACAATCGGGGAAGAAAAGAACAAACATGTTTACTAAACTGCGCAATCTTTTCTATAGACAGGAGGGCAATCATGGGAACTTGTTTTTTCTTTTACGATGGAAACTAATTAACATGTTTTGAGTGTAAAAGAGAACACAGCAAAACTAATAAGCTAAGACTAGGTTCCATCGGATGCAGATGATAGCATAGAAATGTAATTTTATGATCAATGAACTTGAAAAAATGTCGTCAATAATATGAGTTTTATTATCTGAATTTTCTATATTAATTTTAATGGATTTTTCTCAGTGCTCAAAGGAATGATCTCTATGAATCATTATAACTCATATTAAATATGCCAATGACGAGTATGTTTACAATACTTTTGGAGAAGTATGGTAAGCAAGAAGTCTGTTGTTGGTTTTCATGGAACAAGAAAATGTTTATCGACACATTTCGACTTCTATTCCAAATTTCAGTTATTTGAGTTTGTTTTTGATCTAAATAGAAGAGTCATATCAACGAACACATACATTTTTGATAGCTCCGTCGGAAAGTCAATATGAAGATGACAACAACATCACATTAACCCACAATCATCGAAAAATAGAGATAGATGGAACGTTGTTCAATTTCTCTTCGTGTTAAATATTGATTATTTTCAGTAGCACTATGAAAAAATAGTTACTGGAAACATTGCTGATATGAGTATTTCAATATTACACTTGAGTTAGGTTCTACCAGTCACCAAAACAAGCTGAATAAAATAATTTTATTTACATAAAGAAAAACTTTTACTTTAAATTAACCGCGTTTTGTTTCTTGTATTTTACTACAAACATTTTAGTATTCTATGTTTCGCTTTCTACTTGGGTTTATCTATGTTCAGTACTCCTTATGCCAATCATCTAAATCTTCGTCTGGTAATTATATAGCAATTAGTTCCAGTAGTATGTATATCTTTTTGTCGATATTAGTTCTATCATCATTTAATCAATCGTGTTCTAATGATTTCTCTTGTGTTAATTCATTGATCTGTTCAAATACAAATACATGCATATGTCCAAATGTGTCATCATTTTGGAGTGATAAGCAAAACGATTGTCTTTCCTGCCTATCGGGTTGGATTCAATGGAAAAGGAATCGTTGTCTTTCTTTGGCAGTACCATCTCAAGGTGGCTTTTCATATCATCAAGCAGATCACATTTGTCGTTCGATTTCAGCAGAACTTTTACATATAAAAAATATAGATGATTTTCAACAATTTGAATTAAAGGTGAATGCATTACTTTATAGTACATTTTCAAGTGCAGTTACAATATTTTTTCGTGTTGGTGCATGGATAAAGAAATTGACTGGTAATACAATCGACAGTTTGGAAGATACTTTGTGTGATGAAAATGATAATAGTTCGAATTTTCAATGTATAATAATTAGAAGAAACAATTTACAAAATGGTACACTATGTTTAAGCCGCCTAGAATGTAATGAAAACATGTTATTTATATGTGATAGTAAGTTCAGATTAATATAGAAGATAGTTTTATTGCCAATATTTGCGTTATCTATTCTTGTTAGTGGAAGCTATGTCGGCTAATTATACAATAGATAACGAAAATACCGAATTTTCATCTCGAGCTATTGGAGCACTTCTTGGAGTGGTTGCACCACTAGCTGTTGATTTGCTTGGTAATCTACTTGGTGGAAATAGTATGCATTCATATTGAATTCGTTTTATTTTGTGAAACGCTTTGTGCTATTTCTAAAGAACAACCACAGCCTCAACCACAGCCACAACCGCAACCCCAACAAATTATTAGTAAGATGACTTTGGGTGAAAGGCATTAAGAATATCTTTCTTTTCCATTTCAAGTTCAGCAAGAAACTGGAAGACCACAAAAACCTGCTGCACAAGGTAGATTTTTGCAATAAATGGTTTTGTTTTCTTGTTCCTGAAAATTTAATATATTTACAGAAAAGCCGCCAGCAGATAATACATTACTCTATGTTGCATTGGGTGTTGGCGGTTTTTTAATTCTTCTGACTATTATTGGTGGTGCTGTCGCAATTGTTTTATTTACAGGATGTATGCAAAATTCAACAGCGGCTTCAGAAACTAATTATCGATCTAGTATTGAAAGTGGTTATAATTAATAATAGTTGAATAATAGAGAGAACAGACTATGGAAATCAGATTTATTTTTCTATATTATGTTTTGCTAATAATAGAATATTATAATATAAAAGACATGAGAAAACGTGTATAATTAAAGATTTAATTTAAAATCTATTAAAATTCAAGCATCATCTTCGAAGTAACTCCTCGGATTGATTAATCAATTTAAATCTTAAAAATATACATCGAGAAAGGTTTTCACGAGAGTATAAGGTCGTCGTAATGCTCGTTCTGGGTATTACTCCTTTTTCTTAATATCTACAAATATCAACATCAACATCTATTGATAATATGACTTTTACATAAGCTTTTCTAGAACTTTTTGTTACTCAATGAAACTTTTCTGAAGTAAAATTTTCAGATTTGAGAGATTGCAATAATTAGCATGCATTTACTTCTATTGATATTTTAATACATAGATTCATTTTTTGAGAAAAAACTGCACCCAAGTTTGAAGAACCTCAAAATCAAAATTTCTACATGAAAGATAACTATAAAGTAAATAAACTTTTCTCTTCACTATTTTTTTTGGATAGTTTTCCTTAGCATCGTAAAAGTTGAGATTGAGCTGATAAATAAATTCACATTCATAATAAAAAAAAAATGAATAAATGAAATGTTGGATTTTTTCCTTTTTACCAAAAAGAGAAAAATAAACAAACGAAAGTTGGAAAGAATAACAATATATAAAATGACGATGTTGAAATTTTTTGTTCGTTCCTTTTGTCTATAGTGACTAATGTATTTTCAATTGTGAAACCATGTGGAGTTTCTTGTTGTGACAACGAGACAAAACAAAAGAAATCAAATTATATGTCACCGAAAAATCAAGAAAAAAAACAAAAGGTACCGACTATAGAAACAGTAATTCCTGTAGAGAAAAAAAAATGAAAACACAAAGTTTAGCGAATTGTTACAACAAATAATAAAGTATTATAAAGCATTTTGAACTATTTCGAAATTCAGTTTTGATACCGTCGAAACCAAATACTTTGGGCTTATCTTTAAGTTTGATACAACACGTTTTCTATAGTTATTAAATATTTCCAGTAGCTATATAATCTTACATTCTCAATATGTAAATGCAAAGTCAAATGATTTAATCTATCTTGATTGATTGAAAATTTCAAGCTTAATGGAGACAAAGAAAAAGAAATCACTTTTTCAACTAAAGTCTCTATAGTGAAACTCGTTTTTTAAAGGATCTTGGAAAATCTATTTGACAGTCATTGAGAAAAACATTTATAATTTGAAGGAACTGTGTGCATCGGGAGTTTCTATTAGTAAGCTATACAAATGAGAACGTTAAAAAAAATCAAAAATGGCATTCACCTAATTTATTACAAAAGGGAGCTCAGAAGTTTCACTTGATTCAAACAGATTATAATCAAACAAATTTTATACTTGTCATTCTTCACCAAATATGTTCTTCATGAAAAATCTAATAGGATCGTTAATACGTTTTTGACTATACTTATGTAAGCTATTTCGTATGTCATTTCTACTAACATAAAAAGTTATTTGTGATGTTTTATCATAAGAAAAGGTCAATAATAGAAAAGTAGAGCAAAACAAATATCAATCGATCCTAATATACAAATGATATTGCACAAATCAATATATCATTGAGCAATCTGTACGAATTTTTTTCTATTTCATCAGTCTGTTTATGCCCAACAATCTTAACGCTGTTCAAAAAACGTTATTAGATAAAAAAGTGAAAACATCTTTTTTCTAGAATAATTTACTGTTTTTGATGATAAGACTCGTCATTTTTAGTGCCTTTCTCCTACTCGTTACATTCTTGGGTGATTCCGCCAGCTTCCTCCAGCGAGTTATGGTGACCATCTCCGAATTTGATGAAACTGGGAGGGCTTGTAGAGAATTTTACGCTGATCATTTTGCTATAAAAAAAGTTCTAAACTTGATTGAAAAATACTTCGTTAAGCATTTTTTCAAAAAGAATCGATTTTTTCAATGTTTCGTTGTTTCTCAGCTATACTAATTCGTTTTTCGAAACCGAGGACAGATTCTTGTAGCTCATTCAAAGCTCTATCAAAAACCTATATTGGTGCTATCTTCTTAGCTATCTTTCATAAATCTATGCATGAAAACATAGAACCGGAAAAAAGGTATATCTTAAGAAATCGGGAACTAATTTGGTACAAAATTGAAATTACCGGAATTGGTGGCATATATCATTCGATAGAGCGGAGCTTGCTCTATCTTCCTGCGTAGTTGAATTTGTACGGGAATCAGATTCTGGGCGAAAAAAACGAAAAAACGAAAAAAATGCAATTTTTAGTCACTTTTTCACGGTAATTCAAATTTTTCTCATAGATAAAATGTTCAAAAGCGGAAATGAACCTCAGATTCGTGATCAGCATGAAGAACTGGATCTAACAGCCCGTGTTTATGCATCTTGAATCACCTATCTTTCTCAATTTTAGTTGTTGACTAGACTATACATGGTTTTACTCTATACACTCGTTGATTTATCAAAACAAAAAATTCTTAGAGACTGATTTTTCGTATTGTATATACTCTTTGAACGTAAGAACGACATTTTTATGTATCAAAGCAGATTGATTTCATGAAGTTCATTGACAATGATTTGAATTTTAAAGTTTTCATATCAGTAGCAAGCGAAGAGTGACGATAAAGTTCTGGAATTTTACCAGATTCTATTTCGAGTTTTATTTCTTTCTGTGATATAGAAAGCAGCAGAATGAAAAACCATTCTTTTATCGATCGACGATTGCAATGAGATAACTACGAAATAAAAAAGCACGTTGAGTTGAATTCGATCGGGGTCTAAATGAACATGTATGAAATGTGTGTTTAAAAAATATAAGATAGGCTACTTTATACCTAATTATTCACTTCATTAGTTTCGATATTGCCAGAACATGACGTGCGACGACATTCGACTTTCTTAATTCCTATTGGATCAAATTGATGTTGGCTCCGAATTTGTTTGATCCACTCTATCACAAAAACGAAAACTCTAAGTAAATAGAATTAGTGTTTTTAATATTTACCTTCGACTCGATACTGTTTCCATCGATCGTGAAGGTCATATCTTTCACAATTGTGCTTGATATGTGTTCTGTTCATGTAGAAAACGTTGATTTCATTGTTGTGCCGTGCAAATTTGTACAGATCTTCAGGTGTCAAAATAACAGAAGATGAATTACTACAAAGCGTGTGCCGATTTGCTCGATGTTTGAAGGCAGCTCCGATACCATCAACGGCACTTTTCCCATGCGCTGTAGCACAAAATGTCCATGAAGCGGGGAGTCCAAAATCGGTATAATGATAAGTCAGATTAAAAATATTTTTGTTGTTTTTGAAGTGCTGCGGAGCTCCGTCGGAGACATAGTTTAGTTTCTTTACACCTGGGTACACGCTTTGAATATATTCGACAATAACGCGTTGAACAGAATGCACGAATTCAACATCATGTTCAAGATAATCACTACACTGAAAAAAAATAAGCACTCTACGAAACTTAAAAGGGTTCCGAGATTTGCAACGAATTCGAAACCATTTTTCTTTATCATACGGAACCTTCGAGGTTCTTCAAGGGTTTCGTAAAGTCTCACAA